ATGTTCTAAGATGTACCGGCATGCCTGCGCAATTTATGGCTTTAGTGCAAGGATGCAAGTACTGGTGTAATGCTGTCTCTTTTCCTGTTTCCAGTGAAAAGTCTCAATGCAGCATTCTGCACAAGCTGCAGGCGAGAGAAAGAGGACTGGCCAAGACCCAAGTACAGCAAGTTGCCAAGTCTTGAGGAGATTAGAGTGTGGCTACTGTCTGTGTGGTTATGTATGGACGGCTGTTGTCCTTTTTATCCATATGTCTCTCCCTGTGTTGCTGTCATTGTAGCTTTGTTGTTGTGTTTGCTACCGCGGCAAAATTGATTTCCCCTCTGGGACAAATAAAGGTCTTGAAATTGAAATTGAAATATGGTTAGTATGTATATTAGCGTAATAATAGTTAGTCTGTTGTGCTGCTGTCTTACATTCAACCACCAGATGGAGCCAAAGTAAAGTTTTATAGTCCACACAGACCTGATACAGAAAGTTAATCTCAGTGCTTTGTTTGGCTGTGGTCAGACTCAGCAGTGATGTCACAGTGTCCTGGATGGTGAATGGTAAATGGACTGTACTGTATACAGCACCTTTCTATTCTTCTGACCACTCAGAGCACTTTACTCTACAGGTCACATTTACACACTGATGACTCAACATCAGGCGCAGTTTGGGGTTCTGTATGTTGCTCAAAGACACTTCAGTATGCAGAGGGAGGAGCCGGGGATCAAACGACTAACCTTCTGATTAGTGGACGAACCGCTCTACCTCCTGAGCCTGATTTGATTAAAGTTTAATTTTTCTTTTTTCATTGTAACAAAATGCACCAACTAACCTAAACCTAACCCACTTTTATTTTATGCTTTTTTGGGAGCGATTGATGCGCCTTGTAATTCATCTATAATGAGAGGCGAGCAGGTACGTTGGGGGGCACAGTATGTCTTTAGGTCTTAGAAACGTTAAAATATTCCATATCTTTTGTACATTATAAATTGCATTCAACTGTTATGCACACTGACACACAACTGCAGGGTCAGTGGTTTTACTCCTGATTGTGTTTGTGCTTTTAGATTTTCTTTAGCTGTCTGCATTCACACTTCATTTATCAATCTTTTCTGTGATTGCTGCTTACTGTAATTAACACTTTACTCACAATATTTTCTGTTTGCTAAACAGTGTCTTTTCACCACCATGTGGTCTGTTATTAAAATGTCAAACGTTTAAAAAATCTAAATAAATCACCAGTATGTCCTACAGAGCTGATCTTTGTCAGCACATCCATTGAACTGTGACAAGCCAACTTTTTCACTGCAACCTATGGTCTATCTAGTCCATCACTCTACTCTGCTCACTGCTAATGAGTAGCCACAACACACACACACACACACACACACACACACACACACAGACAAACAAGGGAGATGGAGACAGAGACGCGAAAGAGAAAGGCAACTTGTTCCAGCAAAAATAAAAATCTGCAGTAATTTGGTGATTTATGGCTCAACATTTTGTGCAGGGCACTGCTATGATTAGTGAAAATGGCAGAAAACTACAATGATTGATCAATTCGCTGAAAAGTTGTAGTGATTGGAGAAAATTGCAAGTTTGTGCAGAATTTACAGGTATTGTTTAAATTTGTGTTGCGATGGAGGAACAGCATAATGGACATAAAACACTGACTAACAAACATAACTGTTAGCGCTCCTGTTGTGCATTTATTTTGGTGTGCTCACGTGAGTCTCTCCCAAATTGATAATCTTGGTGCTGCAGGCTCACTGCGAACAACACTCAACTCTATTGCCCCTCTAAAAGGAAAATATAAAAACATATAGGAGGCTAGTACTGTGGTACAACCACCAAACCCGCCAATTAAAGCGCTCTTCCAAACTAGTCTTAAACCTATAGAAAGGCCCTCCATAATGCCAGAGGATTATTCAGCATTAATAGAAGAAAATAAGAATAACCCTAGGTTCCTCTTCAGCACTGTAGCCAGGCTGACAGAGAGTCACAGCTCTATTGAGCCACGTATCCCCATAACCCTAAGTAGCAACAACTTTATAAAATATTACTATTAGAGACATAATTAATCACAGGAATCTGCCTTACTTCATCATTTATGATGTGAAAACTTAATTTCCACTCAGTCTGTGCGTCCTGCTCACAGTTATAAAATCTAAGCGCATCATGAAGCATCTTTCCTCCCTGTGTTACTATCACAGTTACAATTTTGAGGTTTGTGCTCAGATTCGGTTTGTCTTGATATTGAAAACGTGAGAAAACATCTAACAGGTTGTTCAGAGCTCATATGTGAAAACTTTTTTATTGTTTTTCTTTTGGACGAGTCGAAGCAGAGCAGCCCCAGCAGCTGAACTTGTCACCATCTTCAACATGTTAGGTAGGTGTTCTTCTAACTTTAATACCAAATTAATTAAACCAAATTAAACAGTGTACAAACTCTACAGCTATGTTCTATATGTAGAGGAGATCACAGAGTATGCTGGACAAGTCAACTCCTTTTAAATCTTTTTTTTTGTATTTAATTAAATTCTTACAGCCAGGTTTTCATACAAAGTTATTTTTGCTGGAGTATAACAGGTTGATAACTTTTGAACAGAAACACTGTTGAGTATCAACAGCAATGTTCATTCTAACTAATTCCCCTTCAGTCTTTTTCCACCTGGATGCAGCGGAAAGAATCCATTGAACTTTCACCTCATGTGAATGCTTCAGTTCAGGACTGCCCTCTTGTGTGACATTTCATCCGTTTCGCTATTGATATGGAGAAAATAACTGAGGCTTAACTTAGTTAAATAAATGAATACCCGTTTTTTGACATTAGTCTTAACACCTGTCAATAGCATCATATCCCCTTTGTGCTTGCGTCAGCATTGTGGTTGTCTTGCCTGAAGCTGTCATACATTGACTCTATCAAAATCAGAATCACTTCTATTGGACAGGTATGTGCACACATAAATGGGATTTAAAACCAGCTGGCCAACTGGTCAGCACAGATTTTCAGGCAAGATGGTGACACTCCGGCGGCTGTGGCTCAGAGGCAGAGCGGGTTCAATCCCCGGCTCCCCCTCCTGCATGTTGAAGTGTCTCTGAGTTCAAGACTGAACCCCAAATTGCTCCTGATGGTATGCATTGGTGTATGAATGTGCATGAATGTGTTAGTTTCTGTTTGATGAAGTTTGCCAGCCCTGTGTGAAAGGATGAATGTGGCATGTAGTGTAAAAATGCTTTGAGTGGTCGGAAGACTAGAGAGGCGCTATACAAGTACAGGTCCATTTACCACTCCATCTGGTCCTTGTGCCTATCTAGTACAAATAAATTTTTTACCATTCACTGTTTAGCTCTTGGTGCTTTTTAACTCTAGATTTGAACTGAATAAAGAATTTTAGTCATCGGACTTTGGGATCTTAAGATATCAGAGAAACAAGCTGAGCTAACGGCTGAAGGAATCCTAAGTGGGAGAAGTTGACTGCAATGATGGTGAAGACAACAACTCACATGATCCCATGCTGCTTCACTATGTCATCAAACTTCCTCTTTTGTTATTGTCTTTATGTGGAGGTGTAATGACATCTTTTAAAATGTTAAGTAATGTAACATTATGTATGTAAATGTAAAACTTGTAAAACTAAAATGCTTCCACCGCTACCACTGCTCTTTGGCCCTTCTTCTCAAAGAATCCCAGCGATAAGTGTTCATGATTTACATCTGTAGAGACTGCCCAAAGCTGGTAGTAATTGAATTCTGCGTTCAAAAAATATGGCAGGGTTATACTAATGGCCAGAAGTTGGAGCTATTGTTTGTAGAACTGGATGAATTCCCATAAAGTTCATGGGGCCACACCTTCACAGGTTTGGTAACCAATTACAGACAAACGAAACCTATATGTCTCGTTCGGCTTCATCTAAATATGCTATGTACTGATTTTGCTGAACATTAAATGAAATATGTGTCAAAACAAACAAATATTTTTTACGGATGAATGGGTGTGGCCTATATCAGTTAAATTGGCCTTATCGGAGGAATCCATTGTACAAAAATGTTTCTTCTACCGCTTTTAGTTTAGTTTAGTTTTTAGAGTTATTTGCAAAAATGTAACACGCTTAATAACTGACCACATGGTGGTAAAATAGACAGTCCAGACCTCTGCCCTGTATCTACACCAATGACATATGCCCTGTATCTACACTACTGTTCTCTGTCCTGTATTTATCCTGACTTGTGTATCTTAGTATTATTGTCTAACAGACACAATAACATTTCTATTAACTGTCTCTGAAAGGCACTTCTTATTCTCTATAAATTTAGTTATATGTTGACCTCTGACTGGTCTGTGTGCACATAATTTCCAGTGTGGAGGATGTATTGTCATCTAGTAGTCTATTTGATGATTGCATTTCACTTGTTTGGTTTGTCCGTCCTGGGCTACTGTAGAGATATGGCGGTTCAACATGGCGGACTCCGTAGGAGAGGACCTGTGCCCTCATATACCTATAAATATTTTATTACAGTAATATTACACACTGGAGCTTTGATATATTAGATGTAATTATGCTAAACCTTGTACCTCCCATACATACAAAGTTACATTTTATTTATACCGACCGCTGCAACATACAAAAGCCTCACGATGCTTGGGTCTTAATGTTACCAAAGGGGGACATGTTTGTATTGTGTTAACAAAGAACTGTACATTATAGGATCCTCCTGTTATTGTGTCATGAATTTATATTCCTTAAAGGAGCTGAATAGAGCCGACTGGTTCATCAGTGCACTGTGACATTTTGCTGTGTTCTCGGGACACTGGAATAATGAAACACTGAATTATTTAGCACAAACTAATAAATAATCTCTCTTTGTGTGTCTGACTCTGTTAAGGCTGACTCGTCCTAAAGTAGATTTACCTTCAATCACCATTTATTAAATCTCCATCCATTAAAGAGCAGCATCCTCTAATCCTGATTACAGAGGGAGGACAGGGTCTCCGTCCACCGCTCACATGCCATCCACAGAGGCCTGAATGCATTACTAAAGGCTGGACCGCAGGAGGACCACACAAGGACCAAACAAGGACCGCAGGACAAGAGGAGATAAAGAGAGAAGAAACAAGAGAGGAGGCAGGAGGAGACAGGAGGATGACCGTGGAGGACAGCTGAACTGGATGAAGATGGACAGCAGAGGGAGGAGAGGAACTAACGGCTCATTCAAACGTTCGTCCATCAAACGCAGCACGTCTTCTGGCTCACAGAAGGTCAGACTGAACATTTAAACTTTATTTTGATTAAATTAGAATGATCAAAATGTTAGATTTCCTCAGTGGAAACAGTTTCTCCTCAAACAATACAATATTTTTATTATTATTAACAGGAAATGAAAGCAGAAACAGATGTTAGGGAATAAAAACATCATAAATGTAGAAATCAATAAATAGTTTGATTCACAAATAATTTTTACAAACACATTTCCCAGAACTGAAGTCCTGTCTGAACCTGTCTGATCAAGCAATGGACACAATGGCTGCTTTCTTTGCTAATGTGTGACTCAGATCTTTTAATGTCAGTGTGAACAATTCAAATCACACCGAATCTGATCTTTTCAGTTCTGATTTGGGACACTTCCATATCTGGACCAAACTAAAGCTATAATTGAGCCCTGAAAATCGGTCAAGAGACTGGCCCGAACCTGAAATCAAAACATTGTGGTCAAAGTGTGAAAGTTTGTGTTCAGCAGGTGTTTGATAAATTGATCATACATTGTCCCTTTTGTTGCACTGCATAATGAACATTGTCGTGGTTAACGGCAGTAAAAAAAGTGTGTTTCATTACCTCCACTGTGCTCTCTGCTCTGAAATTGTACTGCAGTCCACTCAGTGTGAATAATTATGTAATCTATATGACTGTCAGTGGTGGTAAGATGTAAATGGGTCAATATTCCTATAAAGTGCCTTTGAGACTTCACAATTTCCAAAAGAATAAGCTGAGATTTTCACTTAATTTCATATTCATTGTATTAAGTAGACCTTAGGCTGTTAGATATTAATGTTGGTCATGCTCCTGCACTTTTTGGGGGGGCTTTTATTGCATTTAATCAATAAAGTGGAGATGATGCGCAGCAAAGGGCCACACAGCCACTGCAGCACAGACTCAGTCCTGGTACATGGCAGGCCAGCTCTGCCTGGTGAGCTACCAGGACACCCAAACTCCTTCACACTCCTGCAAGGAATAACCTTTATTCAGACAGGAAGTTCTTTGAGATTGAAGACCTGGCCGAGTCCGCACACAGTTACAATTTAAAAAGAAATACAAACACAATAAACAGGAAAACAAACATCACACACACAAAGAAAAGACTAAATCCTGCTCATATAAGGCAGTTTAATTTCTCAATTACATGGAGTTTTAACATGACTTTAAATTCTTCGAATGGGACCAGATCATTAATATGTAGTAAATTTAGCTAATTATTCCAAGTCCAGGGAGCACATTTAAATACATAAATACAAATAAACACATAAATAAATACATTTTCATTGCACACTGATTATAAAATGTATTTAGTCTATTTGTTTGCCTATAAAGTCTGTGAACTGAAAAAATAAAACATACAAGACTGCTGCAAAACCCCCACATACAATAGGTTAAAGCAATATGGCAGTATCAATAACAACAGAAAATAGCTGATAAACGGAACAATGAACACAACAGTGAACACAATAACTGCAGGAAGTTTGATTATTTCCTGTGAATATTGATCAGATCAACATTAGACCTCTGCAGTACGCAGTATAAAAGAATATCATCGAGAAGTTTAAAGATCTTTTTACTGGCAATAACTTTGCATCATGTGCACAATTGTCTGAAAAGTTCAGCCAACCAAATACCCATTTTTTCAGATACCTGCAGGCGAGACACTTTCTCCATTCTCAGATACCTAGTTTCCCTGAGGCAACCACTGCGACCACCGCCGATGTGTTGCTGGGTCTGCATCCATTGGGCAAGGGCTTAATATCGGTCATCTATGACAAATTGATGTGCATAAAACAGGCTCCTCTGGACAAAATTAAAACTGCTTGGGAGCAGGATTTAAACATCTCACTGTTGAACGATGTACGGGATTCCATTTTCAGGCTGGTAAATTCAACATCTCTCTGTGCACGTCACTGCCTGTTACAGTTTAAGGTGGTGCACAGGGCTCATATATCTAAAGTCCAATTATCTTGTATGTACTCAGATGTTGATCCTTTGTGTGACAAATATAAGAGGTGAGGCTTCACTTATTCACATGTTCTGGACTTGTCCCAGCCTGGAAAGATACTGGAGAGATGTTTTCCAAACCTTGTCCCTCATTCTTAAACTTGAGCTAGAGCCCAACCCACTGATTGCCCTTTTTGGCACCACTGGTGTGGATGACACGCGCCTAACTCCAACCAAAAGTCGCATACTGTCCTTCGCTTCTCTTTTGGCTAGGCGAGCAATACTACTAAGATGGAGGGATGCTGCTCTGCCCACACACGTGGCTTAGGGACATCATGTCCTGTCTAGACCTTGAAAAGATCCGCTACTCAGTTTGTAATTCAGGTGGGAAGTTTCAGAGGGTGTGGGGACCCTTTCTGAAATACTTTGAGAGTCTTCAGTCAAACTGAAGGATTTTCCTTTACTCTGTTTCGCTTCTTTGCTTGTCTCTCTCTTGTCAGTTACATAGTCTGTATCAGTCAATTCTAATTCCTTCCTTCTTCTACTCATCTATCTTTATTTCTTTATCTATTATTATTATATGTTTTGTATTTACTTATCTTGCAATTTAATACTTGACTTACAGCAGTTTCCTACAATACTCCAGGAACAGTATTCCGTAGGAAATATGGTTTGTAGATGTGGCTAGTGGGAGTGGAAGGTGTTTGTGTTTTATCACTTTGAAAAAAAATGTATGAACATTTCTGTATTTGTGATTAAAATTCAATAAAAATATCTGAGAGAAAATATTAATGAGGCCTCTGTAAACTGGAGAGACTCTGAGCTGCTTTTATATTACATGCTGAGGACTGTTTGTTCAGTGAGTTCAGGGTTAACTGACTTCATGTGATTCTGCTTCACAAACACTATCAGCTGTTTCGGTTCTCACACAAATATGACCACTGCAACATTTCAACCCCGAACAATTCACTCGAATACTGAGAGAGTTTTAATAAAAGAACATCTGAGACATTAAACTCATAGCACATCTTTCATCTACACATAAAATCTATGTACATCGTCTTTAAAATATAATATAAGGATCATATATTTAATGAACAGTATCTATTTATCATTGAGGGGTTGAACAGTTCTTGCTGCTTGCACAAGTAATCAATATTTAAGTGTCACTGGTTCTCTGCCCACTGGTGCTGAAGTTAAAATTGGGTCCAGTTGGTTTCTGTTTCCTTCTCTGTGATTGGTCGACAGCTGCAGGTCCACTTTCTGTGCGCCGTGATGTAAGAGCTCATTAATGTAGTTTCTGAACATCATTAATCTCATTTAAACCCTGATAATCCAAATCCCGCTTTCTCTGTTCATTGTTCTCAGCTGCTGTAAATCTCATTCACAACTTTATTAACACTCACATGAAGCGCAAGATTAGTTCAGATCGACTTTATTGATCACACAGAAGCTCCAGATCCAAACAGAACAACAAATATAAAACTCACAGTTTTATATGCGACACAATATTTATAAACACACGTCATTATTTTAAAATGTATTTCTATATATATATATATAAAATAAATAGAATTTCTTTTTGATTTCAATGCTGTAAAATGATAAAATTATAATCACCTGTTTTATATGACGTTTTATAAAAACGTCTTAAAACATAATTTATTCAGGCATAATTTTATACTTCATATAATGACATTAATATAAAATAAATTGAACAACAAATAAAGGAAAAGATTACCTTACATTTGAAAGTCTAAATAACTAATTTTATTTAACACTTTAAATACTTTTTTAAATTTTAACCAATTTCTGATTTTTAAATTTTAGTGTTCATTTGTTGTCAGAATCAAATCTGTCAAGTATAAAAGGAGGGTTATCAGTGGGTGAATATTTTGCTGAGATGTTAATCAAGTTAATTATGTACATTTAATCCGCAGACAAGTTGTTAAAAATGAATAACATGTCATTCTCTAACATGAAAACAACTAAATACAAATAAAGAGTTTGTTCCTCACAATATAAAAAGTGAATCAGTAGTTTACAGCTGGAAGAAATGAGCGACGTAGCTTTAGCAATGTGAACTATCTTTAGAATAACTCTGGTTGAGATCATGTTTTCTGTTGGAATATAAGCATCAATAGTTGCATATGCAATAATATTCTCCATCTGATTTCTAAGTGTTAGATCAGTTGCTGCTGGTCGGGGTCCTGCTCAGGGACTTTGGACTCTCAGGTCAGTCTGAGTCCTGATTGTGGATCTGATGGTACTGATATTACTGAAGTAATAAATAAAATAAATAAATAAACAAGGTCAAACTGGAGGGAAGAAAGTGGACTCAGCTGTTGGAGGTTTGTGGGGGATTTCTTAAAGCAGATTTGTTAAGTCTGGGTCCTGGTCTGCATGAAAATACTTGACGGGTCACAAGACTCCCAGAAGGATTACCTCGGACCGGAGTCATGAGACCGGCTCCAACAAAGAGCCCTGCTGCCTCACATGATCCTCATATGAACCCACTCAGCTGCACACAGTCAGACCGGGTCCTATCTGCTGCACCAAGGCTCCGGACCAGGTCCTCAGAGAGGGTCCTGGTCCACAGTCTGGACCTGTTTGCGCACAGAGACCTGTGGAGGTTCAGGTAGACGAGGTATTGCTGGCGTCCTCACAGTTTATGATTCTTCTTCTGCTGCGTTTGTGGAGACGATCAGAGGTTTGTTGGTTTGTTGGATCAAAGTTTGTTCATTGGAGAGAAAACAATGTTTTTCTGTTTGAATTCTTAAATTCTTCTTTTGAAATCCAGAAGTTTATCACTAGCATAAGGCTATTTGAGTCTATATGTCAGTTAGCTAACTTTAGCTTCCCCAGCTAATGTGATCCATGCTGTAACTTATGTATTCTGACCAACCGGTGCCTGGTGGAATTAGCGAGGTGGATAGCTTTCTACCACACTGTAAGACTCTTTAATGTAGATTTACAGTAATTAAATAGAGCATAAAAACATAAACCTTTTCCATGGTCCTAACGAGTGACAGCAACATAAAACAAAGAACGTACGCTGAAGTTATGAGGACGTGTTCAGGGCGAGACTGTTACAGAATATATGAAGTTTATTGGAGATTGGACATTGCACACTGAAGTTAGGAGTTCTGTTTTATGGCGAATCGGCTGAATTGTACAAGTCGTCACTGGCACGCGGTTTGACGTACAGTCACAAATAGCTCAACTTTTCATCTACAGTTTGTATGACCACAGAATTCAAAATGGCTGATTTTGATGCCAGGCCACGGACACGCTGTTTGACGGAATGTCGTAAATAGCACAACTTTTAATCATGAATGACTTTAGATTGCACTGATTAAATTTGAAGTTGATCCAATAAATTCCCTAGGAGGATTTCGTTCAAGTACAGGGTGACAAATCACAGAAAAAGCCATTTGACATAAATAGCACAACCTTTAATCAGCACCATTTTTTGACTGTACTCGTAAATTTTGAAGCATATCCGATAAATTCCCTAGGAGGAGTTCATTCAAGTACAACGCGAAAAGTTTGCCGAAAGTGAAAATGAAAATCAAAATGGCCGACTTCCTGTGGGGTTTCCGGTATGGGTCCAAACATGATTTTTGGTATATGAGCTACAGGCACCACTCTACACGTATCCTGTGAATTTCATATTCATATTTTTCCTCATGGACCCATGGGCAAACATTGTACCAAGTTTCATTTAAATCACATGTGCCACTGTAGAGATATAAACTTCTTCATTTTAAAGAGCGCCACCTAGTGGCGATGGTCTGAAATTGTGCAGGGTGCCTAAGGAAGACATGAGGAACTATGGACCCAAGTTTGGTGTCAATCGGACAAACCAATGTTGAGAAATGGTCCTCTACCTTTTTTGACTAAAAATCCACAGGAAGTCTTAATTTTATAGCGGGCTAATTTTTTGAAATTTCAAAAATGTTCACATTTTTTTTTGCCAGGGCGGTCCCCAGGTGCTAGGTTAAAAAATTTGTGCGAATCGGACAAAGCGTGTAGGAGGACCACGGAAAAGTACTTTAAGGACATTTTGCACTCTAACGAAAACAAATTATAGGCGGAAGTGGGCGGGACCTATATGGAGAGATTCAGCTCCATTCACCAAACACGTGGATATAAGTTTTTTGAATGTGCAACAAAATATGCAAAAGCTTTTAAGTAACCAATAAGTGAAAATACTTTTCTCAATGGTAGCACCACCTAGTGGCCGACCCGAAAAAGACGCATAGAATATCAAATTTTTCACCAGGCCTGACAACTTTGCTAAATAAAATTGAGTTTTCGTATATGTTCAGGGGGGCAAAAATGCAGTCGAAGGGGGCTAAAAATAATATAAAGAAAAAACGAAGCAAAAACAATAGGGACCTCCAGCAGTCGCTGGCTCAGTCCCTAATAAGAAACATAGCAAATACAATAGGGACCTCCAGCGGTTGCTGGCTCGGTCCCTAATTACAAAGGGACAGTATTCCTTGTGCAGTTTCTATTCTAATATTTATTAAAAGAGAAATATGTCACAGTACAACACCAGCAAAACCAGACCTGAATAAACCCGAGCAGTCCTCTTTGTCGTTCCATCTTTTATTTAAAGGACCCTTCTGTATACACACTAATTAAACTAAAGTAATACAGTCATTTCCTGACAAAACTGTGACTAGTCCTGTGTTGTAAATTTACAAGAATATAGTGATAGTAATAAGGAACTTTATTTCTAGTAATACACTGTAATGTAAAATTATACAGTACTTTGCTGTCAAAACTGCTGCCAGTTAATTTCTGTAAATTTACAGTGAAAAGTCTTGTGACCGTGCAGCCGAGAGCGCTGCGAGGCAGCGGCGTCCTTCGCGGCGTAGGAACATCACAGATACAGGAAGACATCCTAAATGTGATCATGTGTCATTTTTTTCACAGCATTCAGTCTCGTGTTTGTCATGTGACTCTTCTGGTCGATGACTATGATGGTTAGGGCACTGCACTTAGCTTAACACCACTAGCTACTGCACAACTGTCTCTGTCTGACAGCAGTTAGGCTCCGCCCACAGAGAAGGTCAATAGATTTTGGCTTCCATAAGAATGAACCGAGCGTGTCCATTTCTTCCTTAATACAGCCACGGTTTGAACTGTTAGCTTAGCATTAACATAGGATGTTGCAGAGGTACTCTGTAATGTCCAGTCCGTTCTGGTCCAGCAGACCTCCTGAAGAAATTCACTGCAATGTTCAATTGTTTAATATTTCTATTATTGATCAGTGTTCACTGATTGATTTCCTGTTAAATCCTGATAAAATGTAATGGAGTTTGGTTGTATCCTTTCTGCTGACGGACTTTGGACTCCAGGTCAGTGTTGATAAACTGTGCTTGTGGATTTGATGGTCAGAAATGCTAGTAAGGATGACAATGATGATCGTTCACGTGAAAAGGACAATGCAGCTGCAGCTGGTCTGGCATTGACAGTTAATCCTCCATCATGCAGAGTGCTCAGACACAGTGAGTCATTAGTGCTGTATGGACGGACACACATTCAAAGGACTCTGTGAGGTTCTGGCCGCAGCACCGACAGCGGGATTAAACAGATAAGCGGATTTAAAGCAGAAAGAAATGGAAAGCTCAACTCTTCCAGTAATTAGCCAGATCCATTCTTCAGCTGCAGCTGGCCGGGAATAGACAGAAATCAGTGTTTATTATTATTATTGTTAAAATTTGTAGTATTATTTATATTATTACTTTTATTATTATTTTTGTCGTTATTGTTATTATCATTAAATGAAGTTTGTAATTAAATAGTTCTGATGAAAGAGAAAAAAATGTATTCATTTAATTCATAAAAATCACTGCCGTTGACTTCCTTTCATTGTGCTGCAGTGTTTGTTAACCAGTTACTGGTGATCAATATTCATTTGTGTTTACTTCCTGTTTGTGTTCAGACGCAGAGAGCGTGGATCGAGAGAACTTTCCAAAAGAGAGAATGTGTCCAGATTATTGTCAGCAAAGACACCAGCAGGTACGACACAGTAATAGTATTTTAGTTGTGATTGACAGGTCATTCTCAGTCAAACTAGACATTTGCCATTGTTTTCTGCAGTGACATAAAGAAGTTTGTTGTTCAGGTGCAGTTGTGGTCAGCTGGTGACACAGCACAACTATGTCCTACCAGGGGCCAAAGAGGAGGGGGGGCCTCTGGTTCAGCTGGAGGTCCAACCTGCAGAAAGATGGAGCCCCCTCAAACACACCCAGACCTCCCCCACCGACGCCTACGGGGTCATTGAGTTCCAGGGAGGAGGACACGTCAACAAGGCCATGGTGCTCCACACACTGCATGTCACACTGCGTATCACACACTGCGTCACTGCGTATCACACACTGCGTATCACACACTGGGTCACTGCATATCACACACTGCGTATCACACTCACTGCTTATCACACACTGCATCACTGCGTATCACACACTGCGTTACTGCGTATCACACATTGCGTATAACACAGCGTATCACACACTGTGTATCACACACTGTGTCACTGCGTATCACACACTGCGTATCACACACTGCGTCACTGCGTATCACACACACTGCGTATCACACACTGCGTCACTGCGTATCACACACTGCGTATCACACACTGTGTCACTGCGTATCACACACTGCGTATCACACACTGCGTCACTGCGTATCACACACACTGCGTATCACACACTGCGTCACTGCGTATCACACACTGCGTATCACACACTGGGTCACTGCATATCACACACTGCGTATCACACTCACTGCTTATCACACACTGCATCACTGCGTATCACACACTGCGTTACTGCGTATCACACACTGCGTATAACACAGCGTATCACACACTGTGTATCACACACTGTGTCACTGCGTATCACACCCTGCGTATCACACACTGCGTATCACACACACTGTATCTCAAACTGCGTATCACACACTGTCACTGCGTATCACACCCTGCGTATCACACACTGCGTATCACACACACTGTATCTCAAACTGCGTATCACACACTGTCACTGCGTATCACACACTGTCACTGCGTATCACACCCTGCGTATCACACACTGCGTATCACACACACTGTATCTCAAACTGCGTATCACACACTGTCACTGCGTATCACACACTGCGTATAACACACTGTCACTGCGTATCACACACTGCGTATCACACACTGTATCTCAAACTGCGTATCACACACACACTGTGTATCACACACACTGCGTATCACACCGTGCAGATTACACATTGTATATTACTGAATATTATATATTTATATGAGTGTTTGTGAGGGAGGTCAACATCAAGAACCTCTTCCTTATCCTCTTCCTCCTCCTCCTCCTCCTTCTCCTCCTGCAGTACATCCGTGTCTCTTATGACTCCAGACCAGACCTGCTGCTCCAGTTGATGGTAAAGGACTGGCAGTTGGAGCTTCCCACTCTGTTGATTTCCGTCCACGGCGGACTGCAGAACTTCGACCTGCCCCCCAAACTGAAGCAGGTTTTTGGGAAAGGACTGATCAAAGCAGCTGTGACCACTGGAGCCTGGATCTTCACCGGGGGGGTCAGCACCGGTAAACCACACACTGGGTCCTGGGAAAACAGTGCAGATGTAACATTGATCTGTGAACTGTGTAGAGTGGATAGAGACTGAAGCTCTGGCACTGTACACTGTGATCACATCTTCAATAATGATATAAACTTTAAAAACAACTTAAGTTTCCTGCACAGAAATGAATAAAATGGGACAAAGAGTGTGTTTGTGTGGGACAGGTTAGCAGAACGAAGAGGTCATTTTGATATTTTATTTGAATTAGAGCTGCACAGTTAATCAAAATATTATGGAAATCACAATATGAAGCTGTTTGTTTGTTTGGTTCAGACCAACAAAACCTTCACATCAAGAAATTTGTGAAATCTTTCCCACTAATCGTGAATCATATAAAATCCAACTGTTTGTGTCTGAATGGATCTGGCTAATTACTGGCGAGTGTGGCTTTCCATTTCTTTCTGCTTTAAATCCTCTTATCGTCCTAATCCCACTGGGCCACTGAATCAGTGCCTCTCCATCACAAGGACATTACATACATAAAAATGCATCAAGTATCGGTATAATACATTATATTATTAAACAATAATATAGAGTACAGCTGGTATTCAAACAGACTGTAGAGAGATGCCACCGCAGTGATGGACACAGTGATTGCAATCACAACTTCCTGAAGGAACTGATGTAATTAATAATGAAATTATTAGGCTATCGCTAACTGACGCTATGAAGCTAAATGCTAATGATACAGTTTCCACATATTCTTTATGAGTTAGTTGATCCTGACCCTGTACCTGGACCCTGACCCTGTACCTGGACCCTGACTAGTACCTGATCATGATCCTGACCCTGACCCTGACCCTGTACCTGGACCCTGACTGTCTTCTGTGGTGTTTCAGGAGTGATCCGCCATGTTGGAGATGCTCTCAAAGATCATTCATCAAAGTCCAGAGGAAAAGTCTGCGCCATTGGTATCGCACCGTGGGGCATCATAGAGAACAAAGAGGACCTGATTGGGAGAGATGTAAGACAAACCAGAATGAGATGGACTCAACCAGACTGAACCGGACTCAACCAGACTGAACCTGACTGACTCACATATACATATTATTATTATATTATAATAAATATTATTAATATTATCATTATATACTGTTATTATTATTAGTATTATTAGTATATATTAGTATTTTATTCTATTGTATTTTATTTTATCTATCTATCTATCTATCTATCTATCTATCTATCTATCTATCTATCTATCTATCTATCTATCTATCAGTGTGACTCTTATAAAGTCTCCTCCCCCTCTGACTGGGCCAATCACTGTGTCGCAGGTGACCCGGCCCTATCAGACCATGTCCAACCCACTCAGCAAGCTGGCGGTCCTCAACAGCAGCCACTCACACTTCATCCTAGCCGACAATGGGACCAGCGGGAAGTACGGGGCTGAGGTCCGACTGCGGCGGCAGCTGGAGAAACACATTGCTCTGCAGAAGATCAACACACGTGAGTCACACACCTGTGACATGTGACCTACTGGAATAACCAATCAGCTGTTAACGAGTGGTTAACGTCAGGGCTGATCATAGGGCAGTCGGCGCCAGATAACGTTATTCAGCATGTGACTGTTTTGGCCGTGCATGTGATGGTGCAGCTGTGTCTGTCTGACAGCAGTTAGGCTCCACCCACAAAAGACTGAAAAGGTCAATAAAGGAGGGTTTCTGGTCTCAGGTCTGGGTTCCTGTGGAGGCTGCTGTGATCCATCATGTGACCTGTGGGTTTCCCTTTGTCATCCTATGCCTGGAGATGACTGTAAGGCAGGGACAGCAAAGGGGGACTCAGCCGTCACCCCTCACTTCACTTCATGTCCTTCCAGGGACAGACAAATGTCTGCTGTCTCCTCCAGACGTTTCTGTGGGCGTCCAGTATAAAGAGAGGGCCAGAACGGGTTAGCTTAGCACAGACACTGGGAGCAGGAGAAACTGTTAGCCTTGCTTAATAGCTACAAACTAATGGCAGTTGGTAGAGTCTCTCTTTTCCGTTACTGAGTGTGTTTGTGTGGATCAGGTCTGGGTCAGGGCGTCCCTGTGGTCTGTCTGATCCTGGAGGGGGGTCCCAATGTCATCTCCATCGTGTTGGAGAGTCTGAGGGAGGAGCCTCCGGTCCCTGTCGTCGTCTGCGACGGCAGTGGTCGCGCCTCTGACATCATTTCCTTTGCACACAGATACTGCGAGGAAGACGGGTAACGTTCATACATAGATTACATCACGTTTATTATTAAACACAACTTTATTATCACTGTAGAAACACACAACTTTATTACCACTGTACAAACAACTTTATCATATTTATTTATATATTGAATCTTATCACAAACAACACTCTGCTTCATGTTTCATTTGTAATAATATTACAAGTGTACACAACAAAAAAAGGGGGTTGTAAAAGGATTCATATGTTCATATACGTACACCAGTCATGTCAATTATAATCATATACAATACCCAGCCAACCCTTGACCTGAGGGAATCAGACAAACAGGTTACACAAACCTAACAACAAACATAAAAATAGAAAATACATCAGATAGACATAATATTTACATCAGCCTACACACACACACACACACACACACACACACACACATACACACACACACAAAGACACACACACACACACACACACACACACACACACACACACACACACACACACACACACACACACACACAGCCCCTCCTCCCCCCTCAGGGCAGCTGAGACATCAACAACTCCATTCCTACTCTTCTCCTTTGCTCTCCACTCCACACCGGATACACAACAGGGGACACCTATAACTCCAACCTCTCCCTAACAGCTGACCAGAAAGAAGGAACTGAGGAAGATCAAGGCAAGAAAGGCCACAGGACCCGGATGTCATCAGCTCTGGAGCAAGTTCTGGTCCTGTGGAAAACCCTCCCCCCCAAGGAGCCCACCCATTTCAGATTGGTTGCCTTAACTTCTCACCTGATGAAGACCATGAAGAGGATTATACACAACTATCTGCAACCCCTGGTAAGCTCAAAACTGGACCCCTGCAGTTTGCTTACCAACCGATCGTTGGGGTGGATGACGTCGGTATCTACCTAATGCTCAGATCCCTCTCACACCTGGAGACCACTGGGAACACTGGGACTTTTTCAGTGCTTTCAACACACTACAGCCATCACTGCTCAGGGGGAAGCTAGAAGGAGCTGGAGTTGACTGCCACCTGGCTGCATGGACCATCAGCTACCTCACTGACAGACATGAGGCTGTGTGTGAGGCTCCAGGACTGTGGGTCTGATGTGGTGGTTTGTAGCACAGGATCCCCGCAGGGGTCAGTGCTCGCTCCTTTTCTCTTCACCCAGTACACATCAGACTTCAGACACAACACAAGCTACTGTCGCCTGCAGAAGTTTCTGATACTGCCATTGTTGGACGTGGATCAGAAGGGAATGATCAGGAATACCGGGAGATCATCACTGACTTTGTTGACTGGTGTAAGTTGAACATAACTTACATATACAGGGGTGTTCACCTGAACAATAAACTGGACTGGTCCAACAACACAAATGTCCTGTACAAGAAGGGCCAAAGTCTTCTTCACCTGCTGAAGAGACTGAGGTCCATTGGTGTGTGAAGGACTCTGTGGGGTCCCTGAGCAGCTCCTTCAGTAACAGAGTGCTGCACCCTCAGTGCTACTGCAGGTCCTTCATCCCAGCAGCTGTCAGACTGTTTAACTCCGCAACTTTCTTCTGCTCTAACTACCTGTATAGTCCATACATACATATGTACTCTATATATATATTAAACATATAATAATTTAGACCTGTAAATTCAATTCAATTCAATTCAATTCAATTTTATTTGTATAGCGCCCATAACAGAAGTAATCTCAGGACACTTTTCAAATAGAGCAGGTCTAGACCAAACTCTTTATAACATTATTTACAGAGACCCAACAGTTCCCACCATGAGCAAGACCTTGGCGACGGGGGCAAGGAAAAACTGCCTTATTAAGAGGCAGAAACCTAGGACAGATCCTTCGGCTCTAGGTGGGTGGTCATCTGCCTCGACCAGTTGGGGTGAGAGAGAGAGAGAGAGAGAGAGAGAGAGGGACAGACAACAACAGTAGCAACAACTACAGTAATTGTAGTGATTGATGATGATGAACATGAAGAAGACGACGGTGACGACAACAACGATGGGGGACAATGAGCAGTGGCCACAGCAACAACAGTAACCCCCGTAATAATAATAGTAATAATAATAATAACAATAATATCAGTGATATTAGCAATGGCAGTCAAGCAGAACCATGGCAGGAGGCTCCACCAGGATCCATGAGAACCTGCGACATGAGAAAGCACAAGAACTCCGGGGAAGAAGTGAAGTTGGTAACATGCATTAATGGAACATGAATGAGTACAGAAAGAGAGAGAGAGGAAGAGAGGAGCTCAGTGCATCATGGGAAATCCACCGATAATCTAGGCCTATAGCAGCATAACTAAGGGATGGTTCAGGACTCACCTGAGCCAGAGGGTGTCTGCCTCCAGAACCAAAACTGGAAGCTGGTTCCACAGGAGAGGAGCTTGGTAACTGAAGGCTCTGGCTCCTGTTCTAATTTTAGAGACTATAGGAACCACAAGTAGCCCAGCATTCAGAGAACACAGTGTTCTAGTGGGGTAATAGGGTACTATGAGCTCTTTAAGATATGAAGGGGCCTGACCATGAAGAGCTTTATAGGTGAGGAGGAGGATTTTAAATTCTATTCTAAATTTTACAGGGAGCCAATGCAGAGAAGCTAGTACAGGAGAGATTTGATCTCTTTTCCTAGTTCCTGTCAGTACTCGTGCTGCAGCGTTCTGAATTAATGGCCTTATTGGGGCAACCTAACCCTAACCTTAACCTGATAAGGAATTACAGTAATCCAGCCTAGAAGTAACAAATGCATGGATTAGTTTTTCTGCATCTGTCTGTGACAGGATGTGTGTAATTTGTGTGATATTGTAACCTGTGCAATATTATAATTTAACTTTAAATCACATCTGTATAATCTGTATACGGTTTGTACTTTCAACCCTAAATCTATTTTTTCTTGATATCTTGTATTTTTCTATTTCATTTTGTTATTAATGTGTATTTCTTTTTTCTTATCTGCTGTGTTATATCTGGAGCTGCTGTAACAAGAGAATTCCCCCCTTGTGGGATCAATAAAGTCTATCTTATTTATCTTATCTTACACACTCACACATACAGACACACACACACACACACACACACACACACACACACACACACTCAAATGATCTGTTTTTAGTTATATATGATAACCTCTCAAGTTTACCGCTACCGCTCCACCTTTGAAGAACACCTACCAACACATTCTCAATATATGTTTATATTTAACAGCAACTTAAAATACAGATGCCTGCATTTAATGTTGACTTGCATCCATAAAAGTTTTCCTTTTAACAATATTCCAGAATTCCACAATATTTGGGCATTCCCAGAAAACATGGAGACATGTAGCTTTGCCAAGATTTCACTTTGGACAGATTAAAGTACAATCAGGCTGTTTCATGTGCACTTTATCAGAGATTATTTATCAATATGAAATCAATATGTATGATATATATGATGCTTTGTGAGCGCTCCTGTTGGTTTCTCTCTGATGATGCACTTCATGCCGTGTTGGTCCTGTAGGTTGCTGAGTGACGGCGTCAAAGATCAGCTGCTGGTCACCATCCAGAAAACCTTCAACTACAACCGCAGCCAGGCACAGCAGATCTTCCTCATGGTGATGGAGTGCATGAAGAAGAGAGCTCTGGTAGGTAACAGCGCTGACTCATCATTCTGTGTTCAATCATTATCCATCAATAAAACTGAAACTCATCCTGTCGTCTGTGTGTCATTATTCATGTTCTCATCACACTAATGACATTGATATATTACTGTGACTGTTTCACTCATCATCGGGATGTGAGGACAAATGTAATCTCTGCTGGATCAGAGGAATCATTTCTCTGAGTGAATGAACGGGTCAGAGGTCAGAGGTCAGATTAATGTTCACCACTCTAACTAGTACTGCACAGACACACAAGCAACAACAATAACAACAACTATACTAGTAGAGAGAACTGATGATCATTTCCAGACCCAGGACAACCATGGTCTCTGTACGAAAGCGGACCAGGATCCAAACCAGGACCTTCCAGAGCTGCAGAGAAAACATTTCACTGTATATATTATATTATCTATCTGTTTGTCTGTCTAAGAGTAAATCAGTGTATAAAAACATAAAACACACACTCACAATACCAGTTCAATGTTTATTTTTATTCATTTTTGGTCTTGATGCTCCGATTCGATGAAAACTGGAACGAGTGCCGTCAGTTTTTGCTGAGCTCATAAAGGAAGCCGGCTCATTCCATTAGAGCAAATGGGATCAGTTTATATAGCAGCCAACGGTGCTGCCACCTGCTGGAATTTACACAGAATGACCTGACCTCCGCCCTCATTCTATGGCTCCTGCTTACTGTGACATTAACATAATGACGAAGGTTTTACCTTTGACCCAAAACTGCACCACTTAATGGAGATTGTTCTGTGACCCTTAATCCCACAATCCTCTGCTTCTTCCTGAGAACAGCTGCAGCAGCAGAGCGACGGCACATTTAAACCAAATCAATTCACTTAAATTAATTTCATGTCGGATTCAAATGCTGCATGTTCTGAAGTAACCAGGATGAATGAAGCAACACCGATTGAATGGATCAATATGTTTCAGTCAATATTATCAATCAACTCATATTTGTTCAAATGTGCAGATAATATCCCCTTTATAAACTCTTTTAAGTTTTAATGGTTCTGATGGTTTTAATGGTTCTGATGGTTTTAATGGTTCTGATGGTTCTCATGGTTTTAATGGTTCTGATGGCTCTGTGGTTCTGATGGGTGGGGGGGTATAGCTGCCTATACACTGCCGCCCACTGGCACACTGCCACCCTCCGGCACATTGCCAACCTCCAGCACACTACCATTATGTTATTATAATGTACCTAAATTATATAACAGTTAATATATTAAAAACTATCTAGAAACGTGAACACAATAGTTAAATAATATTATTTTATAGATATTTACATAATATATCATTTTATTTATTGGTTTTTAAAAAGATTGTCAAGACACAAAACGTTATAATATATTGTTTTTAAAAGAAAATCTGAGTTTTGTGGTTCAGCTTTTTGACAAATATTAATTTATATTAATACTGATATGTTGACAGAAGCCCTGCTACAAACTCAATCTGTCTGATCAGCTTCTGTGCTACTGATTAGTTTTATTGATCGGGAGCTTCCTGTCTTCAGTATGTGTTCATGATACTGTTGTTTGTTGTTTGTTTGTTGTGTGTAGATCACAGTGTTCAGGATGGGCTCAGAGGGACAGCAGGACATTGAGATGTCCATCCTGACTGCTCTTCTTAAAGGTAGTGCAGTATATCATATAATAATATAATATATGAAATATAATCATTTATCAGTCCGATATCTGCCTCCACATCAGAGGGAATTATGTTTGTGATGACGACTGTTTGCTTGTTTGTTTGTTTGTTTGTTTACTCGAGGTACAAATGCGTCGGCGTCCGATCAGCTGAGTTTAGCTCTGGCGTGGAACAGAGTGGACATCGCTCGCAGTCAGATCTTTGTGTACGGACTCCACTGGCCCGTGAGTTCACAGTATTCACATTATTGATCGATCAGGAAACAGAAATCTGTAGTGAAATAAGCAGAAGTGTAAAGCAGGTTTCTGTTGTGGAGCAGTTTTAATAATGGCTAATTAGCTAAGCTAAACAAGCTAAGCTGTGAAAAAAAACAGCAGCTGCGGTGCCAAACAGAAGACATTTTATGATTATTTACAGTTACCGATTTTTCATGTTATTTTTCATGTAAATTCACAGGATATTGTTTACAAAATACAGAAAACCCCGGAAAACTTACTGAATATAATCAAAAGTGCTGAAAATCTAAACTGTACATCTTAAGAAAAAACCCTTGAAGACCTTTTACATACTGTTGGTTGCTAGTGGCTACGTTACCATCAGGTGTATACTGCCCTCCAAAGGCAAACTGCAGGAACTACAATCAGACAGCTAGCTAGACAGGACAGGGTATTACTTTTTTATCCAATCAGAGGAGAGCTTATTTTCTCTGTCCACCGAATGTGTGTCTGGTGTCTTTCTGCAGCCGGTGAGCAGTTTACCCACCGACCGACCGAAGAGTCCGGTTGCACAGCGGGCAGCAGCAGCAGCAGGAGGAGGAGGAGGAGGAGGAGGAGGCAAAGGGAAGGCCAGGGGCAAGAAAGGAAAAGGAGGCAAAACCAAACCTGAACCACCTGAGGAGACGGACCCGAGGAAACTGGAGCTGCTCAGCTGGGTCAGAGACATAAAACATTATGGTCTACAATAATAACTCAAATCTATTCACTTATATACATATTTCTACTAAACCACAGGTTTTATCTCTCTAACAGAACCGTTAGCTAACCTCAAACTGTAAAACACAATGACTCAACAGTTTTAGATAAACCTGAACCGCTAACCTGAGAATCTATGTAGCTGAAAGCTAACCGTTAGCTAACTTCAGCAGTTATCTACAGTGAATATTGACACAAACACTGTAAATTACACGCTGCATTTCACAGTGAAAATCTGATTTCAGCCCATAATAGGATGATGATGAGGATGACGATGATGAGGATGATGAGGGTGAGGATCAGGATGATGATGAGGATGAGGATGAGGATATTGAGGATGAGGATGATGATGATGATGATGATGATGAGGATGATGATGATAATGATGATGTTACGACAGGTGAACTCTCTGGAACAGGCCATGATGGACGCTCTGGTGTTGGACAGAGTGGACTTTGTGAAGCTGCTGATCGAGAACGGCGTCAACATCCATCATTTCCTGACGATTCCTCGTCTGGAGGAACTGTACAACACGGTGAGACTCACCTGAGGATGCTGCAGCACTCACCTGTATTTAAATAACAGCTGTAAGTAGAGGGGAGCTACCAGGAAGGACACTGAGGTTGTCCCACGTTAGCTCTCTTGCTCGTAGCATAATGCTAGCTCAGTGACCTGTGACTGTGGGATAATGGGGATAATTCAGTTTTATTTGTATATATAATAACATAATATTATATATAATAAGGTCTAGACCGAACTCCTTATAACATTATTTACAGAGACCCAACAGTTCCCACCATGAGCAAGACCTTGGAGACCCTGACTCTAGGTGGGTGGGAGAGAGAGCGAGAGAGAGAGAGACAGAGACAGACAGAGACAGACAGACAGACAGACAGACAGACAGGCAGACCGACAGACAGACAGAGAAATGTTGTTGGACTGCTGAAGTGCTGAACTGTACTGCTCATGCTCAGTGGCCTCAGGAGGACGACTGCAGTTGGACTTTCTGTAAAAGACAAAGACTTGAAAAATGAACTTGCAAATGGCAACGATTCGTCCAAGAACAACAACCAATATCATAATGATGGTAATTTATATGTGACATAAATGTTGTTTATTTGGTTTATTAGGTTATTTTGGTGGTTAAAAAGCTGCTCCTGTTGTTAGCGTGTGTGTTTCTGTTATGAAACAAATACTCTCCGCTTTAACCTCGATGGTCGCGTTGACATGTTTATCTGCAGATTAACATCCATCAGTGATCCACTGTTATATCACTGCTGGAACTATAATCTTCATCTGCTGCATAAAGCTCTTAAAACAACATGTAAGTCCCATCATTGTGTCTCTGCTGCCGTCTGTGTCATGTACAGTGAAACAATGACAGAAAACAGCTGGAATCAGTCTGCAAACAGCTGGAATCACTCACACTCTGAACATATGATTCAATTAACCGCAATACATCCAGAGACACAGTAATCAGACACAGAACCACTGAACTTCTATATTCTATTGATCATCATGTTTTCATCCTTGCCGTCAGCCAACAGAGACAAACACTGAATGCTGTAAAATAACTGACAATCATATTTAGAATAACGTTACTATCTGCAATGTTCCTATATTTTATTTGGACCATTAGCTCCGTGCTACTAACTAGCAGCCAAGACACAGCCAGCCAGACAACCGTTACCGTTGTACTGCTGCATAATTTATTGTTGGCTAAAATCAACTCTGTCAGAATACTGCAATACTGCAAACTAACATACAGTCAAGGCCGAAATTATTCATACCCCTGCCAAATTTCAACTTAAAGTTACTTTTATTCAACTTCTTTTTTTTTTGACCGGAAATGACACAGGCTTCTCCCAGAAGATAATAAGATGATGTACAAGAGGCATCATTGTGGGAAAAATTCTTTCTCAGCTTTAATTTACATTTGAACAAAAAGTGGCATATCCAAAATTATTTATACCCTTTGCAAACTGTCACAGTGGGTAAATCCAGAATTCTATACCATTCCAAATAGTCCAAGCTGTTCTAAAGCATCCTAATGACCCTGATTCATTGGGAACAGCTGTTTTATTCAACTCAACAGATGAAAAACAGCAGCTCTCTGCAGTTGGTTTGTGGACAGTCATGGCTAAGACAAAGGAGCTCACTGAGGACCTGCGGCTGCGTATTGTGGCTGCTCACAAGTCAGGAAAGGGCTATAAGGCCATATCTAAATGTTTTCAAGTTCCAGTGGCTACAGTGCAAAGTATTATTAAAAAATACAAGACGTTCCGCACTGTGGGAAATCTCAGAGGACTTGGTCGGAAGCCGAAAGTGACACCTGTGCTGGCCAGGAGGATAGTGAGAGAGGTGAAAAAGAATATTAGGATCACCACCAAGGCCATCCTGGTGAATCTGGGCTCTGCTGGTGGCAACGTCTCAAGGCAGACAGTCCAACGGACACTGCACACGTCTGGGTTCCATGGACGCAGACCAAGGAGGACACCATTTCTCCAGATAAGGCACACAAAAGCCCGCTTGGCCTTTGCAAATGCTCATCTGGACAAAGAAGAAGACTTCTGTTCTTCTGTTTTATGGTCAGATGAAACAAAAATTGAATTGTTTGGCCACAATGATGTATCCTTCATTTGGCGTAAAAAAAGGAGAAGCCTTCAACCCTAAGAACACCATCCCCACTGTCAAACATGGTGGTGGGAACCTGCTTTGGGGGTGTTTTTGAGCTAATGGACCACGGAACCTAATCACAGTAAACGGCACCATAAAAAAAGGGCAATACATCAAGATTCTCAACAACATCAGGCAGTCTGCAGAGAAACTTGGCTTTGGGCACCAGTGGACATTTCAGCACGACAACGACCCAAAACACACAGCAAAAGTGGTGAAGAAATGGTTAGCGGACAAAAACATTAATGTTTTGCAGTGGCCCAGTCAGAGTCCTGACTTGAATCCAATTGAGAATCTGTGGAGGGAGCTAAAGATCAGGGTGATGGCAAGGAGACCCTCCAACCTGAAAGAGTTGGAGCTCATCGCTAAAGATGAATGGGCAAAAATACCAGTGGAGACATGCAAACAGCTGCTCAGCAATTATAGGAGGCGTTTGATTGCTGTAATAGCCAATAAAGGCTTTTCTATTGATTATTGAGAAGGGTATGAATAATTTTGGACATGCCACTTTTTGTTCAAATGTAAATAAAAGCTGAGAAATATTTTTTTCCACAATGATGCCTCTTGTACATCGTCTTATTATCTTCTGGGAGACGCCTGTGTCATTTCCAATCAAGAAAAAAATGATATTTGATTATATTTGGTTGAATAAAAGTAACTTTAAGTCAAAATTTCCCAGGGGTATGAATAATTTCGGGCTTGACTGTACCTACACAGATAGGATTTTACTAGCGATAGCATTAGCAACCAAGCTAACATTATCCAGCTAACAGCACAATCAGACAATATGTTCCACAAGCTTTGCAGTAATCTTAGCTTTGACTTTGGACTCTGTTGTGGTGGGTGTCGGTCATTTGTAGACATTAGCGGACTCCATTTATAAGCCAACGTTAGCTAGCTTTGTACACTGTTGACACTATAGGGAAGCGGAGAGAGAAGGCACTCGGGAGCATAAAGGTCACAACCTTTGACCCTCATCCCTACATAGAGACACATAGAAATCAGTCCACAGGCAGCAGAGGAACAAAGCTACACTACAACCTGTTCACTGTCTGCTATTATATTGTATTATATTGTCATTATTATAGAAACCGAACATCACTGATATTCTGATATATGGAAGCTTTAAACTGCTGAAATATTTGGAAATATATATATATATGTATATATATATATATATTTCATGACCCTGTCAGAGTTTGTTATTGTTGTTGATAAGTTTCCTGTTTGTATTTCCGTAGAAGTTGGGACCAGCCAACACGCTGCACTTTGTGGTCAGAGACGTGAAAAAGGTGACTTTTGTTTTGTTAATCAATCGCTATTGATTATGTGTTTAGATACTTATCAGTTTATAATCTGATGATATGACATCAGTTCTGATCGTCAGATGGATTTTTTGTTATTATTACTATTAAAATATAAACTGTTTTTAGAGGTTCATTCTTCCTAAGAGAATTATGTCAGTGTTTTCTTCCCAAGCAATTCAATTCAATTCAATTTTATTTGTATAGCACCAATTCATAACAGAAGTTATCTCAGGACACTTTTCAAATGGAGCCGGTCTAGACCGAACTCCTTATAACATTATTTACAGAGACCCAACAGTACTACCACGAGCAAGCACTTGGTGGCGGGGGCAAGGAAAAACTGCCTGTTAAGAGGCAGAAACCTAGGACAGACCCTTCGGCTCTAGGTGGGTGGTCGTCTGCCTCGATCAGTTGGGGTTAGAGAGAGAGAGAGAGGGTGAGAGAGAGAGAGAGAGAGAGAGAGAGAGACAGACAGACAGACAGTTACACAGCAACAACAGTAGCAACAATTACACTAATAGTAGTGACGTGCAGAAAGAGAGAGAGAGGAAGAGAGGAGCTCAGTGCACCATGGGAATTCCCCCGATAGTCTAGGCCTATAGCAGCATAACTAAGGGATGGTTCAGGACTCACTTGATCCAGCCCTAACTATACGCTATAACGTATAAGAGGAACGTCTTAAGCAATGAAAATGTACTCTGTATTTCCATTGTTAATTAAATTGTTAGTTAGTTAAATTGTGTTCTCCATTAATAATAATAATGTACTAAATAATGTTAAGTGTTAATAATAAGAATGGTTGTTTTAATATCTTAGTTAGTTTTGTCTAAAACTGGCTCCTGGTTTTAAACCATTCTGAGCATTTCGATCAAAAATAAATCAGTTCAGAACCTGAAAAGTTGGTTTCCAGCTGGAACCAAAACATATCAGGTTGTCTTGGGAACCAGAGTGGGCGTGTCTTATTCTACAAGTCGCTGTGAAGCGCCCTCTTTTGGTGAAACATCAGATTACAGTGGTTCCACTCAGAACAGGTTCAATGGAGAGCACGAAGGGTCTGAGAGTCTTGAACAGAACTGGTTCAGAATCAGAACTAAACACTGAATAGTTCTGAGAAATTAAAGATGTCTCACAGACAGATTTGTGTTTCAGGGCAACCTTCCTCCAGATTATCAGATCACATTGATCGATATTGGTCTGGTGCTGGAGTCCCTGATGGGAGGAGCTTATCGCTGCAATTACACCAGGAAGAGCTTCAGGACATTGTACAACAACCTGTACGGGCTCAAGAGAGTGAGCGAAACCTGCACTAAACAAAAAACATTTCCCCAACCCTTAACTCTATATATATACTGTTACCATTAGAGGTCGCACTAGACTCCATTCATAAAACCAGTAATTTTTGTTGGTCTCGTTCACCAACTAACTAACTGAGTCAGATATGAAAATATTTGTGAAAGGGGCCGTAATAACCACAGCGTAAGCTAACCTTTATCTTTAGGGACAAACTACAGGTTGTTGTTTCTACCACTGACAGACTCTGTGATATCACTATAACTCTCCACCAGACTCAAGAGACAAAAACACTCATTTTACCTTCAGATCATCCTAACTTCATTCAAAGTGGACAGAAACAGAATAAAACTGATTAAAAGCGTCAGGAGAGGAGCTTGGTAACTGAAGGCTCTGGCTCCTGTTCTACTTTTAGAGACTATAGGAACCACAAGTAGCCCAGCATTCAGAGAACGTAGTGTTCTAGAGGGGTAATAGGTAGGTAATAATCAGACCAGGTTTTCCCTAAAAAGGCTGCCAGTTATCAATGAAGCCCACATCGTTTTCTGGACACCACCTCGACAGCCAGCGGTGGAATGATGACATGCGACTATACATGTCATCACTGGTCACATTGGGCAGGGGTCCAGAGAAAACTACGATGTCCGACATTGTTTTAGCATAATTACACACCGACTCCACATTAATTTTATTGACCTCCGATTGGTGTAATCGGGTGTTATTACTGCCGACGTGAATAACAATATTATTATATTTACATTTATCTTTAGCCAGCAGTTTTAAATAGGATTCGATGTCGACATGGATGATAAAAACAGCAGTTTCAGTCGGAGCAGACCTAATATGGAAACAAACCACAGAGAGGCTGCGATACAACACAGGCAGAGGGAGTGAGACACCATGTGACTGTTGATGTTCATATAAAAAAATAACCTTTAAGGATCCTGGAGCTGGAGAATTGGTTCAAATCTTAATTGTGCTTCTGTGTCTAATAATAATGTAGAATAATGAACTGTTTTCTCTTACAGCCTAAAGCTCTGAAGCTTCTTGGAATGGAGGTTTGTGACTTTTGACTTTCTGAAAATGATCAGCGTTGATGGTGGATTTAGATTCTGACGTGGACCGATGTGGTTCCCACAGGATGACGAGCCCCGTCCGAAGGGGAAAGGGAAGAAGAACAAGAAGAAAGAGGAGGAGGTGGACATCGATGTGGACGACCCAGAGGTCAGCAGGTTTCAGTACCCCTTCCACGAGTTGATGGTGTGGGCTGTGCTGATGAAGCGCCAGAAGATGGCGCTCTTTCTGTGGCAGCGGGGGGAGGAGGCCATGGCCAAAGCTCTGGTGGCCTGTAAACTCTACAAAGCAATGGCCCACGAGTCATCCCAGAGCGAGCTCGTGGACGACATCTACCAGGACCTGGAGAACAACTCCAAGTGAGTCCACAACACATCTCAAATCACCAGGATCAATCTGGATAATGTTGTTAGCTAACGTTCGCAAACTAACATATGCGTGCAGGAAAGCAAAGGTTAGCCAGCCAGCATCACTAATGTTGGCAGTGCTTAATAACGTTATCCCGCTCCAACATCAGTGATGTTTAGTGATCAATAATTATAATCCAATCAGATACATATATTCTGCATAATGATTACTTTTACTTTTGGTACTTTAAAGTATATTTTGATGCTAATACTTTAATACAGTAAATTATGAGAGTACTTCTTCCCTTCCCTCTGCCCTGTGTCTACAGCACTAATCTCTGCCCTGTACCTACAGCACGGACCTCTGCCCTGTGTCTACAGCACTGACCTATGCTGACAGTGTTTAGACTGAACGTGTCTCAGTTTTATATGCAGTGGATAGAACACATTAACAGATTTTCTGGTTTCTGCTGTGCAGTAAAGAGCCTGAGGGGGGCGCTCTGTAGACTGAGTGTGCTTTCTGTGCAGGGAGTTTGGTCAGCTGGCCTACGAGCTGCTGGATCAGTCGTACAAACACGACGAGCAGGTGGCCATGAAGCTGCTTACGTATGAGTTGAAGAACTGGAGCAACTCCACCTGTCTGAAGCTGGCAGTCGCTGCCAAACACAGAGACTTCATAGCACACACCTGCAGTCAGATGCTGCTCACCGACATGTGGATGGGCTGCCTGAGGATGGGCAAGAGCAACAGCCTCAAGGTACTGAGGAGCTAGACTCGACCCTTCAGGCATTGAAATAAAACATTTTTATTGTATTAATATTAAGTATATTAATGAGCTGAAAAAATGTCCCATCTCCAGGTGATTTTAGGGATCATCTTCCCTCCTGCGATTCTTCTCTTGGAGTTTCGTCTCGGAGATGAAGGTTCGTATCATTCATCCAAAGAGAACGAGGACGGAAAAACTAAAGAGGACGACAACAAATCCAGCAAGGTAGAAACAAACAATGTTGATCACGGACAGTTTCTGAGTTCACTGCAGTTTGGGTGACAAAGAGTGTGTTTCAGGATGCCGTCTCCAACGTCGACGCTACGTCAAAGAAAGGAGACGAAGAAGAAGAGCAGAAGAAACATAGAAGGAGGACTCCCATCGGGAGGAAAATCTACGAGTTCTACAACGCCCCCTTCACAAAGTTCTGGTTCAACACGGCAAGTTTTTAAATGATATACTGTGATAGATCAACTGCGTTATAATATTCTACTTACAAATGAATATTTGTATTCAGAAACTGAAGTTACATCAGGTAACTAATGTTTTATTCATATAGAGTAGTCTAATAATAATAGCAATATTAATAATTATAATATATAATATAATAATTATATTAAGTAACAATTATAATAATAATAATAACTCAACTCATTCCTCAAGAAAATGTGTGATTGCTGCGTCTGCTGCTGCTACCACTGTTTACAGACACTGAAAGGGTCCCAGCAAGAAGTGTTTGTGATACCACCCACCCATTAGTCGTAACTGAATACTGGGACATGGCTGTGTTTTATTAATGGCATTGACACTAATAGGCTTTAAATTTGAATTATGTGTCTGTTATAAACAATTATTGGTCTTTGTTAAAACGTTACTATTATATGAATGTGATACACAGTACAAACAGTAATAGGGTAAAACAGACAGTGTTACCATGTAACCTGAATGTGACGTGTATGATTGTGTGTAGATCTCTTACCTGGTGTACCTGATGTTGTATAACTACATCATCCTGGTAAAGATGGAGCGATGGCCGTCTCTGCAGGAGTGGATCGTCATCTCTTACATCATCACTCTGGGACTTGAGAAAGTCCGACAGGTAAACCCTGAGACACACCTGATTTATTACCTGAAAGGACCTGGAGCAGTAGAGGAGGAGTTCTGACTTCACCTCTTTAAATGTTTAACATTCAGAGACCAAATACTCAGGTAGAGAGTTGAACTTTGACCCCTCTGTTGTCAGATCCTGATGTCTGAGCCGGGCAAACTGAAGCAGAAGATCAACGTGTGGTTGGAGGACTACTGGAACATCACAGACCTGGTGGCCATCTCAGTCTTCCTGCTGGGTCTGCTGCTGCGACTGCAGAATGAACCCTCCATGGGCTATGGACGCGTCATTTACTGCGTTGACATCATCTTCTGGTACATTCGGGTCCTCGACATCTTCGGCGTCAACAAGTACCTGGGACCCTACGTCATGATGATCGGCAAAATGGTACGACCTCATCACGGGATGACATCACAGACACAGTTCAATGTAATGCTGCGTTCCCACCAACATTACTATGAACTAAGTTGATAACTAAGCATAACCCTGATCAACCAAACTCCATTAGAAAAACAAACATTTTAAAAGCCGTTCGCCAGCATGATGTCGTTATTTCAGCATCATTTTGACTGCCGTTGTAAGTCAGATTAAAAGGCAAATATTCACCTTGTTAGCGCTCATAGGTCAGTGCTGTAGATACAGAGCAGAGGTCAGTGCTGTAGATACAGGGCAGTACTGTGTATCTGATTCATGTAATAACAACAGTTATATTGTTATATAATATTATGGCACATTTTTGTACTCGCTGCTCCTGCAGGTAAACAAGCGTGAGTAATACGAGGCGATTATTTGTCTCCCCTTTGGTTGGAACACAACATAACTTTATTGTTCAGGGAAAAGTTTACAGTCGACAAAATGTTACCAAGAGAGGAAAAATTAAACAATTCAAGATTCAAAACTTTATTGTCACACATTCTTACAGACAAACACTGAAACATAAAGATTCATTCATTAATTAATGTTATAAATCAGAAACATTAACATCGTTAATTTAATGAGATTCCTCCAGCAGGCTCTCCATTCTCCTCTGATCAATGTGTCTGTTGTTGTTGTAGAAATGGCCATTAATAATCAATAATCAATAATCTGTCTCCAGATGATTGACATGCTGTACTTCGTGGTCATCATGCTGGTGGTGTTGATGAGTTTCGGCGTTGCTCGGCAGGCCATCCTCCACCCGGACGAGGAGCCAACATGGCGGCTCGCCAGAAACATCTTCTACATGCCGTACTGGATGATCTACGGAGAGGTGTTTGCAGACTCCATAGACCGTAAGACTAGAGTTCATAGTAAGACACAGCCATTAGTCCTCACCCTCTGTCCTCTGTCCTCTGTCCTCACCCTCTGTCCTCTGTCCTCACCCTCTGTCCACTGTCCTCACCCTTTGTCCTCACCCTCTGTCCACTGTCCTCACCCTTTGTCCTCACCCACTGTCCTCTGTCCTCACCCTCTGTCCTCTGTCCTCACCCACTGTCCTCACCCTCTGTCCTCTGTCTTCACCCACTGTCCTCTGTCCTCACCCTCTGTCCTCACCCACTGTCCTCATCCTCTGTCCTCACCCACTGTCCTCACCCTCTGTCCTCTGTCCTCACCCACTGTGCTCTGTCCTCACCCTCTGTCCTCACCCACTGTCCTCATCCTCTGTCCTCACCCACTGTCCTCACCCACTGTCCTCACCCTCTGTCCTCTGTCCTCACCCACTGTATTCACCCTCTGTCCTCTGTCCTCACCCACTGTGCTCTGTCCTCACCCTCTGTCCTCACCCTCTGTCCACTGTCCTCACACTCTGTCCTCACCCTTTGTTCTCTGTCCTCACCCTCTGTCCTCTGTCCTCACCCTCTATCCTTATCCTCTGTCCTCAACCTCTGTCCTCACCCTCTGTCCTCTGTCTTCACCCTCTGTCCTCACCCTCTGTCGAATTGTCTGTATTTGATCAATAATTAATTAATCAATTAATAAATAATGAATGTTTAATTTATTTTCCACATTTAACTTTTTTCACATAAAACTGAATATTCAATAGTGTTTGTCTTTTATTTCATTCTTTTATTGAAAATGTTTCTAAGATGAAGTCTTTTCTTCTGTAATTTATATTATTGATTATTGATTACTGTCTCTCTCTCTTACCCTCCACAGTTTATGCAATGGAAATCAATCGTAAGTGTCTCAGACATAATGAAAACATTTATTTATTAGGGACCGAGCCAGCGACCGCTGGAGGTCCCTACTATTTTTGCTATGTTTCTTCTTCTTACCTATTATTATTTTTAGCCCCCTTTGACTGCATTTTTGCCCCCCTGAACATATACGAAAACTCAGTTTTATTTGGCAGAGTTGTCAGGCCTGGTGAAAATGGGGATATTCTATGCGTCGCTTTCGGGTTGGCCACTAGGTGGCGCTACTATCATAGAAAGTGCGTTTAAGCTAATAACTTCTGCATAGTTTGTCGCACATACAAAAACCTTATATCCACACGTTTGGTGAATGGAGCTGAATTCTCCACATTGGTACATGTGATTTAAATTAAACTTGGTAGGACGCTTGCCCATGGCTCCCTGAGGCTCACTTAAAAGGGGGAAAAAAAACATGCCACTGTGCGGAGACCGTAATAGTTATGAATATTAAATTCACAGGGCACGTGTAGACTGGTGCCTGAAGCTCACATACCAAAAATCGTGTTTGTCGTATTTGTAGCGCCCCCTACAGGATAAAAAAAACAGCAGCCCCGGTGCCAGATTTCACCAATATGTACGAAACTCGGTAGGCACGTGTAAGATGCCGGGACGTAAAAAAAAGCCTCTTGGACCCATACCCCAAACCCCACGGGAAGTCGGCCATTTTGATTTTCATTTTCACTTTCGGCAAACTTTTCGCGTTGTATTTGAGCGAACTCCTCCTAGGGAATTTATTGGATATGCTTCAAAATTTGTGAGTACAGTCAAAAAATGGTGCTGATTAAAAGTTGTGCTATTTGTGCATGTACGTTGAAGGGCGTGTTCGTGGCGTCCCCTCAAAGTTGGCCACGTTGAATTTCGCAGCCTTTTTCTGAGATTTTTTGCATTGTATTTGATTTTTTTTTGTACAGATTTTATCAGATTGACTTCAAATTCGAACACTGCAAACTAGACACATTGGTAATCAAACGTTGTGCTATTTGTGACTGTACATTTAATCGCGTGCCCGTGACGACGTGTCGAATTCCACCGATTGGCCATCAAACAGATAGTACTCACATCTTCAATGTACAGTCCCACCCTGAACACGTCCTCATAACTTCAGCGTACATGATCCAATCTCAATGAAACTTCACGTGTTTGATAACAGTCCCACCCTGAACACGTCTACATGACAATATTCAGACATAGTGATAGCGCCACATACTGGTAACAGGAAGTATCACGTTTTATACTTTCATGTTCTACTCCTCGCAGCATGATCAGATCCAGCTGAAATTTACTTACAAAATGCAAAACACATTGTTGATGATATGTGTTGACTGGGGTGAGGGGGCGTGTCTGTGTGGTGGCGGGAAATTTTGATGTACCGCCACAAAACACGAATTTGCTATACCTTGAGTGTACATTGTCCAATCGGCTTGATGAGAGTCCCACCCTGAACACGTGTACATGACAATATTCAGACATAATGATAGCGCCACCTACTGGCAACAGGAAGTAAGCGCTGCATGGCGATTTTGAGCTTAATGGCAGTTTTCATGTCTTGGTCCCCACGTGTTACGACGGCACGCAACGCGGCCGCAGCACACACCGAGTTGCGGGGAGTGCGAGGTCCCACCCAGCGCTGCTTGCAGCTTTAATTTCTCGTTGTTGATGCAGACAGGAAGTCTCCTGACACCTTCACAATAAAAGTCACCCTCAGTCTGTCCTGTTCGAATGTTTTATTGGTTAGCAGCAAAAATGGATAACATTAGCTTGTGAGTCCAAAGTGGGAATGGCGGACTCCGCCATTATGAATAGGAAGTACTATAATATATTTGTATAGTAGAGAGAACCAATTACTGAATGTGAAAACACAGACAGACAGACAGACAGACAGACACATATGTAGACTGGACATAAATTATGCTGTCTGTGTCTCAGCTCCGTGTGGAGACAATTTGTACGATGAAGACGGGAAGAAGCTTCCTCCCTGTATCCCTGGAGCCTGGCTCACTCCCGCCATCATGGCCTGTTACCTGCTGGTCGCCAACATCCTGCTGGTCAACCTGCTGATCGCCGTCTTCAAGTCAGTGCTTAGACCAGTTCTCATTAGTGTCATATACTGTAATATAAATCATAAATATACTGTAATATAAATGGTAAATATACTGTCATATAAATGGTAAATAGACTGTAATATAAATGGTAAATAGACTGTCATATAAATGGTAAATAGACTGTCATATAAATGGTAAATGCACAGTAATATAAATGGTAAATATACTGTAATATAAATGGTAAATACACAGTAATATCAATGGTAAACATACTGTAATATAAATGGTAAATATACTGTAATATAAATGGTAAATACACAGTAATATAAATGGTAAATAGACTGTAATATAAATGGTAAATACACAGTAATATAAATGGTAAATATACTGTAATATAAATGGTAAATATACTGTAATACAAATGGTAAATAGACTGTCACATAAATGGTAAATATACTCTCATATAAATGGTAAATAGACAGTACTTGTGTAGCAGCTTTCCAGTCTTCCAACCACTCAAAGTGCTTTTACACTACAGACAATCACCCACAGTCCATCGAACAAAAACTCATTCATTCACATTCACAAACCGATGACACAACAACCTTCTGATTAGAGATTTGAAAGTATTTTGGGTCAGTCATCTTTGCCACCAATAGACTTTAGTTTTGAAATGTCTGTAGCTAATTAGCAAGCTCACCACAGAACAGAACGACCTTTCTGATTTCAAAACTGAAGTCTAAGAATAAAACCCTCCTCTTCCTCCTCTTCCTCCTCTTCGTCTCCGCAGCAACACGTTCTTTGAGGTGAAGTCCATCTCCAACCAGGTCTGGAAGTTCCAGCGATACCAGCTCATCATGACCTTCCATGACCGTCCCATCCTGCCTCCCCCCCTCATCATTCTCCCCCACATCTACATCGTCCTGAAGAGGCTCTGCTGCCGCTGCCGCCGCAGGCCAGAAGGGGACCGCGACGACCGGGAGAGACGACTGCGTAAGACCCGGTCCACAGTCCGTCAGAGACCAGATTGTGTCCTCAGAGTCGGAACTGCTTTAATTAGTCCGTTTTATGTCCTCAGAACTGGTCCTGGGTCCAGAGGAGCTGAAGGGTCTCCATGAGTTCGAAGAGCAGTGTGTGGACGAATATTTCAGAGAGAAAAACGACGAGAAACAATCATCCAACAACGAGAGGATCAGAGTCACATCTGAAAGGTCAAATTTATTGATTACGGACTGATTATAGATCACAGATTATACATTACAGATTATGGATTATAGATAATGGATCATATATAATAGATAATGGATCATATATAATAGATTATACATTATACATTACAGATTATATATTATATATTATGGATTATACATTACATATTATAGATTATATGTTATAGATAATGGATCATATATTATAGATTACAGTTATACACTACAGATTATATATTATAGATTATACGTTCCACATTACAGATTATCAGATCAGAGTCACATCTGAAAGGTCAAATTTATTGATTACAGACTGATTATAGATCATATATTATACATTATACATCACAGATTATATATTATACATTACAGATTATATATTATATATTATACATTATAGATTATAGAATATCCATTACAGATTATAGATTATAGGTTATAGATAATGGATCATATATTATACATTATACATTACAGATTATATATTATATATTATATATTATATATTATACATTACAGATTATAGATTATAGGTTATAGATAATGGATCATATATTATAGATTACAGTTATACACTACAGATTATATATTATAGATTACAGTTATACACTACAGATTATATATTATAGATTATACATTACACATTACAGATTATAGATCATAGATTATAGATTATACATTACAGATAATAGATTAGTGATGCGCGGGCCAACCTGTAACCCGTGGGTCTCGTGGGTTACCCGTGGGTCGGGTTGGGTCAGGTCAAGAAATGTTAACTTAATTGGCGGGACGGGTCATTAAGGATTAAATATGTCCAATACAGGCTACTTCTTAACAACACTGTTGGGTAAATCCACCTGCGACCTGACGTCACAAAAGCGCCTATATATATATTTATTTTTATTTAGATTTGAATTTGTTGTTGTGTGTAGTTTCCAGTGCCACTCGAAAGGCTGTTTTCAAGCACATTTGTAAGACCAAAGAAAAGCCTTATTTAATGACATATTTAACGTGTATTTAATAGCGGTGGGGCGGGTTGTGAAAATAGATGCGGTTGTGCGGGGCGGGATGGAGGGGGTCAAATTATTGAATAAATGTGGGACCCGCGGGTCACTATTATAGATTATAGATAATGGATCATATGTTATACATTATACATTATACATTACAGATTATAGATTATAGATTATACATTACAGATTATAGATTATAGGCTATAGATAATGGATCATATATTATAGATTATACATTACAGATTATATATTATAGATTATAGATTATACATTACAAATTATAGATTATAGATCATACATTATACATTACAGATTATATATTATACATTACAGATATAGATTATACATTATACATTATTCATTACAGATAATAGATTATACATTATACATTACAGATTACAGATTATACATTATACATTACAGATGATATATTATACATTATACATTACAGATTATAGATTATACATTATACATTACAGATTATATATTATACATCAGACATCCAAAAGCAGTGTTTTCATGTATTTTATAGTCAGGTTTTCCCTCTGGTAGCAACTGTCGCACTGTAGTTGGGCGGCTGTGGCTCAGAGGTAGAGAGGGTTGTCCACAAAGCGGAAGGTTGTTGGTTTGATCCCTGCCGCATGTCGCAGTATCATTGAGCAGGATATACCCCAAATTGCTCCCAATGCTGCGTCATCGGTGTGTGTATGAGTTTCTGTTCAATGGGCTTTGCGGTCACTGTGTGAAAGGGTGAATGTGGCGTAGAGTAAAAGTGCTATAACTATACAAGTACAAGTCCATTTACCATTTTACCACTCTCTGCCTCTAGGGGGCATTTGTTGACACTTCATGATTTATTGCCTCTGAGGTTTGTAACGGTGCGTCTCTGTGTTCAGGGTGGAGAATATGTTCATGCGTCTGGAGGAGGTGAACGAGAGGGAGCACTCGATGAAGGCCTCCCTGCAGACGGTAGACCTCCGCCTGGCCCAGCTGGAGGAGTTCTCCGGTCGGATGATGAACGCTCTGGAGAAGCTGGCGGGCGTCGACCGGGCTGAGCTTGTCTGCACACGCTCCAGAGGGTCGTCGGTGTGTGAGCCGGCGTCTCTGCTGCGACACAGCAGCATCAACAGCGCTGACGGTTACAGTCTGTACCGATACCAGCTGGACCACGAAGACCGAGTCTCAGTGTCCGGAGACATAGAGGGGACCGACAGGAGGGTCCAACTGAGTCCAGAGAGACGAGACAACACAACAGGTTGGACCACACGATTATTCGATGTTAATAGCACTAATTATTGATCAATTTTAAACTTTTTTGAGCAGGCTACCTTTTTTAGTGTTTTGGACTGACGTCAACATGCACCTTAGATTCTGTGTACCACAGTGCTCTACGTTTCTTAACTAACTCTGGATCCCGTACTCATCATTGTACACTTACAAGGTTACCTGCAAACGGCTGGATGAAGCTAGCAGACAGTATTTTGCTATGTTAGCGGGCTAACTTTATCCAGCTAAAAGCACAGTATGACAATATATTCCACAAGCTTCAAACGACTGGAGGTTTGGAGGGAAATGACCTGAGATGAACTTCCTGTTTTCAGGTGAGGTGAGGGGGTCGACTCTAGAGGTTCGGGCTCCGAAAGAGACTCAGTCTCTTTCCAACGTTGACATCCTAATCTCCCCCTGCGCCCCCGACCACAGAACCCCCCACACCAGCCATGTGCCACCTCAGTCCGACCCCACGGACGCTAACATGGAGAAACCGGCAGAGAAAACCCAGCTGGAGGCAGCGTCGTCCTTCCCTCTCGAGAGGTCAAAGGTCTATTCCTCCTCTCTGACCCACAGAAAGTCCATCAGCGGCTGCAGCCCCGCCCATCAGCAGGCCTGTCCCAGCATGCCCCGCTGCCTGGCAGACAACAGGCCAGGCAAAGAAAACAAACAGGAAGTGGAGGAGGAACAGGGGGGTGACGTGGTGGAAAGTCGCCATGGTAACGGCGAGGGGGAGGAGCCATCAGAGATGCTCGTGGCGGAGGACAGAATGTACCCGACGCTGCGCTCCAAGAGTCTGAACGCCAACCCGAGGAAGACCAGGAAGAAGGAAAGTGAGGAGACGCCTCGCTCGGCTGGCAGCGTCAAAGACCTGGTCTCAGTGTTCAGTGAGACCACAGGGGGGCCACAGCCCAGGACCAGGGCAATAGACTCTGACAGCTCATCCTGAAGGACTCAAAAAGTTGACGGCTAATTAAAGCTGCTGTAATCAATACTTTTATAAATCTAACCAGCTAACTTACGACTGATGGAGATTAGTTAGCTTGTGATTTGCTAACATTAGCTATATTAAGATTCAATTTCAATTCTCTTCAATTCAATTCAATTTTATTTGTATAGCGCCAATTCAAAAGTTATCTCAGGACACTTTTCAAATAGAGCAGGTCTAGACCGAACTCTTTAAAACATTATTTACAGAGACCCAACAGTACCAACATGAGCAAGACCTTGGAGACAAGGGCAAGGAAACACTGCCTGTTAAAAGGCAGAAACCTAGGACAGATCCTTCGGCTCTGCGTGGGTGGTCGTCTGCCTCGACCAGTTGGGGTGAGAGAGAGAGAGAGACAGAGAGAGAGAGAGAGAGAGAGGGAGAGAGTGAGAGAGACAGAGAGAGAGAGAGAGAGAGAGGGAGAGAGTGAGAGAGACAGACAGACAGACAGGTGCACAGCAACAACAGTATTGGCAATGGCAATCTAGCAGGACCATGGCAGGAGGCTCCACCAGGATCGATAAGAACCTGCGAGACGAGAAAGCACAAGAACTCCGGGGAAGAAGTGAAGTTAGTAACATGCATTAATGGAACATGAATGAGTGCAGAAAGAGAGAGGACGTGCACCATGGGAAATCCCCTGATAGTCTAGGCCTATAGCAGCATAACTAAGGGATGGTTCAGGACTCACCTGATCCAGCCCTAACTATAAGCTTTATCAAAGAGGAATGTCTTAAGCCTACTCTTGAATGTGGTGAGGGTGTCTGCCTCCCGAACCACAACTGGAAGCTGGTTCCACAGGAGAGGAGCTTGGTAACTGAAGGCTCTGGCTCCTGTTATGCTTTTAGAGACTATAGGAACCACAAGTAGCCCAGCATTCAGAGAACGTAGTGTTCTAGAGGGGTAATAGGGTACTATGAGCTCTTTAAGATATGAAGGAGCCTGACCATGAAGAGCTTTATAGGTGAGGAGGAGGATTTTAAATTCTATTCTACATTTTACAGGGAGCCAATGCAGAGAAGCTAGTACAGGAGAGATGTGATCTCTTTTTCTAGTTCCTGTCAGTACTCGTGCTGCAGCGTTCTGAATTAATTGGAGTGTTTTAATGGACTTATTGGGGCAACCTGATAATAAAGAGTTGCAGTAATCCAGCCTTGAAGTAACAAATGCATGGATTAGTTTTTCTGCATCTGTCTGTGATAGGATGTGTCTAATTTTTGTAATATTACGTAAATGAAAGAAGGCAATCCTAGAGTTCTGCTTCATGTGGGAGTAAAAAGACCATCAAAGATAACTCCAAGATTCCTCACAGTGGTGCTAGAGGCCAAGGTAATGCCATCTAGAGTAACTATATCTTTAGACAGTGAGTCTCTAAGGTTTTTGGGGCCAAGAACAAGAATTTCGTTTTTTTCTGAGTTTAACATCAGAAAATAGCAGCTCATCCAGGGTTTTATCTCCTTAAGACATGTTTGTAATTTAGATAATTGATTAATTTCATCGGGCTTGATCGATAGATATAACTGCGTATCATCTGCATAACAGTGAAAGTTAATGGAGTGATTCCTAATAATGTTGCCTAAAGGGAGCATATATAGAGTAAATAGTATTGGTCCAAGTACAGAACCTTGTGGAACTCCATGACTAACTATAGTATAAGATTCATCGTTAACATGTACAAACTGCGAGCGATCTGATAAATATGACTTAAACCAGCTTAGTGCGGTTCCTTTAATGCCAATTTGATGCTCAAGTCTCTGTAAAAGAATATCATGGTCAATGGTGTCAAATGCAGCACTAAGATCTAATAATACAAGTACAGAGACAAGTCCATTGTCAGAAGCAATCAGAAGGTCATTATTAACTTTAACCAGAGCTGTCTCTGTGCTATGATGAACTCTAAATCCTGACTGAAAATCCTCAAATAAACTATTGTTATGTAGAAAGTCACACAACTCTTTGGCGACTACTTTCTCCAGAATCTTAGAGAGGAAGGGGAGGTTAGAGATTGGTCTATTGTTGGCTAAAACCCCTGGGTCAAGAGTGGGCTTTTTAAGAAGGGGTTTAATTACAGCTACTTTAAAGAACTGTGGTACATATCCTGATAATAAAGAAAGATTAATCATATCCAGTAAAGAAGTGCCAATTAAGGGAACAACTTCTTTAAGCAGCCTAGTTGGGATCGGGTCTAACAGACAGGTTGATGGCGTTGATGAAGAAATGATTGAAGTTAACTGATGAAGATCGATAGCAGAAAAACAGTCTAAATATATATCTAAGTTTACATTAGCAAAAGTCCCTGAACTTGGAGAGCCACTGATAACTGTTGATGGCAGTTGGTGATTAATTTTCTCTCTAATAGTAATAATTTTATTGTGTAAGAAGCTCATAAAGTCGTTGCTACTTAAGTTTATGGGGATATGTGGCTCGATAGAGCTGTGACTCTCTGTCAGCCTGGCTACAGTGCTGAAGAGGAACCTAGGGTTATTCTTATTTTCTTCAATTAGTGCTGAGTAATAGGCTCCTCTGGCATTACGGAGGGCCTTTCTATAAGTTTTAAGATTATTTTGCCAGATTGAGCTATATTCTGATAATTTGGAAGAGCGCCATTTCCTTTCAGATTTCCTAGCTATTTGCTTTAACTGGTGGTTTTGGTGGTTATACCAAGGTGCTAGTCTCCTATGTTTTAATAATTTCCTTTTTATAGGAGCGATAGAGTCTGATGTTGATCGTAGTGAGCCTGCAGCATTATCGACAAGATTATCAATTTCAGAGGGACTAAAGTCGTTATAGGACTCTGTTAAATTCAGACATGGCATTGAATTAAACACTGAAGGAATCTCCTCCTTAAATTTAGCTACAGCACTGTCAGATAGACATCTGCTGTAGGAAGTTTTGCCTAATGGCTTATAATCTAATAATATAAATTCAAAAGTTATTAAATAATGGTCAGATAGGAAAGGATTATGTGGGAAGACTATTAAATGTTCAATATCAATGCCATATGATAGAACAAGGTCAAGAGTGTGATTAAAACAATGAGTTGGTTTATTTACACTCTGACGAAGCCAATTGAGTCTATTAATGATATAAATGCGTTACTAAGGCTGTCATTGTTAACATCCACAAGAATATTAAAATCACCTATAATAATTACTTTATCTGATTTAAGGACTAAACTTGATAAAAACTCTGAGAATTCAGATATAAAATCAGAGTACGGTCCAGGAGCGCGGTACACTATAACAAATAGAACTGGCTGCAATGTTTTCCAGTTTGGGTGAGAAAGACTAAGAACAAGGCTTTCAAATGAATTATAATGTAGTTTAGGTTTAGGGTCCATTAAAACGCTCGAATCATATATAGCTGCTACTCCACCTCCTCGGCCAGTGCCTCGAGGAATGTGAGTATTAATATGACTGGGGGGGTGGATTCATTTAGGCTAACATACTCCTCGTGGGACAACCAGGTCTCAGTAAGACAAAGTAAATCAATATCATAATCTGATATTAATTCATTCACTAAAACAGCTTTAGAGGACAGAGACCTGATATTTAACAGTCCACATTTCATTCTCTTATTTTGTGCTACTGAGGAGTTAGTTTTAATTTTTATTAGATTTTTATGTTGAACTCCTCTTGTTTTTATTTCTTTAAATAATTTAGGTGATCGGGGGACAGACACAGTCTCTATGGGGTTTTGGGTGGGTGACTGTTCTAAAGAAAGCGCAGAGAAGTGTGTAAGACAGCAGCTCTGCTTCCTGGTCCCAACTCTGGACTGTCAGGTTTTAGAAATAAACTTCGCCATATTTCTAGATAAGAGAGCCGCTCCATCCAAAGTGGGATGGATGCCGTCTCTCCTAATCAGACCACATCATTTGCTGGACACCACCTCGACAGCCAGCGGTGGAATGACGACATGTGGCTATACATGTCATCACTGGTCACATTGGGGAGGGGTCCAGAGAAAACTACGGAGTCCGACATTGTTTTAGCATAATTACACACCGACTCCACATTAATCTTAGTGACCTCCGATTGGCGTAAACGGGTGTCATTACCGCCGACGTGGATAACAATCTTACTGTATTTACGATTACCTTTAGCCAGCAGTTTTAAATTTGATTCAATGTCGCCCGCTCTGGCCCCAGGGATACATTTAACTATGGCCGCTGGCTTCGCTAACTTCACGTTTCTGACTATGGAGCTGCCAATAACCAGAGTTGGTTCCTCAGCGGGTGTATCGCTGAGTGGGGAAAATGTATTAGAAACGTGAATGGGTTGGTGGTGAACTGTGGGCTTCAGTGTTTTAGTCTTCCTTCGCTCAGTCACTCAGCCTCCCTGTCTTCCCGGCTGCTCGGGATCTACCGGGGGAACTACCGGAGGAACTACAGGAGGAACTACCGGAGGACGGCTAACAGAAGCTACCTTCGGTCGGACCGCACCGGCTACTGGGGGCTGGCTAACTATAGCGGCTAAAGATATCTCCGTGGTGCGGTGCCGTTCCTCTAACTCACTAAGCCTCGCCTCCAGCGCAGTAAATAAACTACACTTAATACAAGAACCATTATCATTAAAGGAGGCAGAGGAATAACTGAACCTCTGACACACTGAGCAGGACAGAGGAGAGGGAGAGGGAGAAGCCATAGCTAACTGCTAATGCTAATGAAACTAGTGTGTATGAAAAACTTTGAAAATAGCGAAAAGTCGCTAAAAGAAGGAGTAACTCCGAGTGTTTAAGTAGAACTAGTCTACGTTTAAATGTTAAGCGGGAAAATAACCGCTGTAACAAGTAAAACTAATGTATATTTAGCGTTCACTGACAGAGCTACAGCACCAAACAGTGTACACAGAGCAGGAAGTGAACCGGGAATGAGTCAGTACGCTTACCGTAGCACGTCACCAGCACAGTTCCAAGACTGCAGCATGTTCAGCATAAATATTCCTAAATTTAAACCTTTTTTTCTTTTTGGATAAAAGCTGAGAAACTGATTCTGATCTGTGGTTCAATTGATCAATTACTAATATTAATAATTAATCAGTCAGTTCTTTCCAGCTGAAACCGTCTGATGAGATCAGTGCTCACTGATTTATAATCTGTATTGTTTGAAACTGCTGAAATCAAAATGATTGATAAGAACATAAAAGACTGAATGTTTGGTCTCCATCCTCTCGTTTATCTGTGAATTGATTATATCTGATCTCAGGTCAGTGAAACAGCCCCAAAGATTGGGGACATATCTGAAAAATATTAACAGAGCTAGAGAGCTAACACTATGCTACGAGCCTGAGAAAAAAACACAGAACTCAAGGCACTTCTCAACAAATCGATGCATCACGATGGGTTCGACCTTCGGAGGAAACGGTATACAAAGTGGAAGAACAGAACACAGAACAGAGAAGTGTTTTTATTTTTGTATTTATTAACTTTATGAACAAATCCAGTTTCTGTTTTAACATAAAGACAAAAGAAGAAGCTGCAACACCTAAATATATTAAAATAAAATGAGTTCAGATTAAAGACTTAACTCTCGCCGGTGTTAGCAGCGTGCGTCTATGTTAATACAACTGTTGCTAGCATACATTGCTAACAATCTCCCGCTGTCTCGTCTTCAGCTGATTCACCTCGTTAACACACTTTAATGAGCTGTAGCTCGTTCTGTTGGTCACACCGGTTCTTTAGGTTGGCTAATGTTTGCAAAACGCTAGCTAACTAGCTACTTCATCAGTTATTAACTAGATAATTAGCTAGCGTTTCGTTAACATTAGCTATCAGATTGATGTATATTTTAACCATCTTTAAAATGTAGTTGTCTTTTCAATATAGACTAGCCTAGCATATAGCAAATCTAAGCACAGGAAGGAGCATTTTGACCGAGGCTTGCTCAACTGTGATTGGAGCACAGAGCAAAGGGGGCGGGGCTAAAGAAGGGTCAACTGCCAACGTTTATGGTAAATGTAGTTTCTAGGAGACAGCTGGTTTTCGAGCATTTTGCTAATATTAGCTCTAGCTAGCTAACAATTACACACCTCTGTCCTCAATATTTGTGACACACTGGACCTTTGACTAAATGGGAATAATTATAAACGAATAATGTGTGTCTGTAAACAGAGCCGTTAGCATCAGTTAGCATCAGCTAGCATCTATCAGATCAGCAACACTTCACTCTGAGCTGAAACGCTGGTTGTGTTTCATTTAACACACACACAGAGGGGTCAAAGTTCAAGGTTTGGTCCAGTTTAAGTGCCGTAGACGAGCTTCCTGCCTCGTTATTTCTCCACCTTTGTCTTATTGTCGTACGTCCCGGCGTTCTTGTAAGCTCCAACGTAGCCCGTGTTCTCCACCAGCTCCTCACGGCCCTCTCGACCTTTGCCCTTGCCGCTCTGGTCAAAACGCTCTTTGTGCGAACCGGTGTAACGGGAGGCGTCGGTCAGCCGGTCCACCGCTGCCGTCTTCGCCACTTTCTGAGGGACACACAACTGGCGTTAGCTTCCGCAGTCTGCTGTGACTCATAGCTCTAACTAATGCTAGCTAGGGTTAGCTTACTGAGCGTCACTGTGGGAGAACTGTGGAGCTGCTGTTGATGTTCAGTGTGATCAGACTGACTGTGTACTTCATGTTAGTGGGACATTACAGCGCTGGCTGTGTGTACTACACCTTCCTCAATTAGCCTCGGGCATATGTGTGTGTGTGTGTGTGTGTGTGTGTGTGTGTGTAATAAATGTGTACTTTCTGTGGCTAAATTATTAACATTATATATTAAATTATTAACATTAACCACATTTATTTATTAATATTATTGTTACCATGACAACAAAGGGGCTTCTGTTATGTTAAATAAGACGTGAATTGTCCTTATAGTGTCAGGGTGTTCATACAGCTGCAGGTACAGGTTAGGGTGGCCATTCGTCCGGCTTTAGGCCGGACAGTCAGGTTTTTAAGGGTTAGGGTTAAAAAAAATGGGTTAGGGTTAGGGTTAGGGTTAGTTAAAAAAAAAATAACAAAAAAGGTCGCCTTTTGACACATTACCTCGTTAGTTTAATACTTATTTGGCTAAAAATGTGTGTCAAAATAAGTAATTTCATTGGTTACATTTTCGTGTCATGACTTATCAACACATGGCTAATTTAAATATTCAAATGAGCCATGTGTTGATTCCCTGATCACTGCAGTTGTTACCACCAGAACGTAAAGTGAGCTAACGTTGTTGGACTGAAATACTCAAAGCCTATACATCTGAAACAGAAGGTGCTGCCTTTTTTTACCCTTTATCTATCCAGATAAAAACATTAAAAACAGTTTCTGTATGATGTTTATTAGACCTATGTAATCTGAATTGGAAGGGCACGTTGTCATGAGCTGTATCTTGTATATTTATTATTAGCTATGTGGTATGTGTATGCACCTTTATGTAGTCTGGTGGAAAAACATTACAATTTAAAACCGGATCATACCAAACAAATATCTGCTTGTGTGTCCCCGTGTATGCAAAGTGTCCTCCTTTTTGATGTGAAGGAAATGGCCACCCTAGTACAGGTACAGGTAGAGCTACAGGTGTGTGTTCAGTCTCACCGTCACTCCAGCGTTGCTCGGCTCTTTTCCTTCCACCAGTCTGAAGATGGACTCCAGCGCCTCCTCTTTACTTTGACCTTTGAACCTCTTTGGACCCAGTTCATCCAGAGCTCTCCGAAACTCCTCGTAGGTGATGACCCGAGACGTCTTCTGTCTTCACAGAGAGACAGACATGTAGGCAGGCAGGCAGACAGACAGACAGACAGACAGACAGATGTTTGAATCAGAAATTGTTATTTTCCTTTTAAATGTGAAATCCGCTGCAGTGTCACAGATCACCACTGGGGGGAGCCAGCACTCTCCTGCAGTGTCAGATCACCACCGGGGGTAGCCAGCAGCCTCCTGCAGTGGACTCACTTCACTTTAGAGAAGACGATGTCGACGTCGGTGGCGGTGACGTTCTTGCCGTCAATGATCTTGCAGTCTTTGCACAGTTTGGCCCAGTTCTTCCCGTTCAGCTCCTTCCCCGTCGCCTTCGTGTCTCCATGGATGGCGAACTTCCTGAAGGATGTCAGCAGCTGCTCCATGTCCGCACTCTCCGCCATGACGGGAAAATATCTGCAGGACAGACGGGAAGAGAAACAGATGTTCCATAAAATAATAAAATACAGTAATTTTCTATAATTAAAATACACTTTTACTGTAAACCAGTGATCAATAAATATAGACGAACTAATAAAATACAGCAGAGTGCTCTTATTATTTCATTTTTATTGTTTAAATCTGAATTTTGAAGTTTGTTATAAAGAAATTATACTCAGTAATCAATACATGTTAATTTGTTTGGACTGTGTGACGCTCACATGTGGGTGAGCAGCAGCAGTAACCATGGCAACCACTGTTAGGGATTACATCAATGTGTGTAAGAAACTGAGTGAGGTCATGTCTCTTTCTCACACACACACACACACACACACACACACACACACACACACAGTTCATATAGTGATATATTGATCAGCACTAACTATAACTATAACCACTAACCACAAGGGCCAGCCTTCACTCCCCACCTGCATCAATGAGCCTTGGCCCCCCATGACCCTGTCTCTGGTTCTGTTCTTTCCTTGGACCACTTTTGATAGGTACTGACCTCTGCAGACCGGGAATCCCCCACATGAGCTGCAGGTTTGGAGATGTTCTGACCCATCACAATGTGTTTCTTGTCAAAGTGGCTCAGATCCTCACGCTGCCTATTATTCCTGCTTTATGTATATATATATACATTATATATTCTGTGATCAGCAACCACAGTGACTGAGCTGCAGATAATCACAGCCTTCACAAACAGAGCAACATGAAGAAGAGGTGCAGATACGAGTGGTCAGTTCGGGGCCCCGGACTGATGCAGGCCCCTATGAGACTGATCAATACAAATGATATATATATGACAGTTACACTGCTGCTGAGGTCTGGAGTCCACCCATCAAAACTATCAAAGGCATTAAAATTAGTCTGAGTCTGTTGCTCACCGAGAAAAACCTCAAATTCAAGCTGTTAGTTGTCAAATGTGCTGAAGGACAGTGAGGAGAAGCAGCAGTTAGAGTGTATTCCCTCCTGTTTGTGCTGAAATAATAAAGGCAGCGTGAGTTCAGTGAATGAAGCAAATCAACACCAACTGTTATCAGAAGTTTTACAGTAACTGTCAGTAACTGATGTAGTAAGCAGAGGATCAAAGTACAAATAACAGTTTTTATTTTAATCTGACAACTTTTTACATTTTTACACAAATATCTGAACTTTTTACTGACGAGACCAGAAGTTTAGTAGTCGATAACAAAACCAGTGACATTCCACGATTCTCAATACCGATCCGATACCCCGGTAAAACTGTCCCCCAATCTCCATTTATTATCTACTGATCAATACGTGGATTTTCATTAATAATACGGGTGAAGAGCACTGGAAGAAAACAACTGCCTGCAACCAAGCTGTTCTTCGATATTTTTATACGTAATATATTAACATTGATATTAAAATAGCCCATTATATACATATACACACATATATATATATAAAGTACCAATAAAGAACTACAGTAGTACACAGTGTAAACGTGCAGTCTGTGATCTAAAACATGTCTGTAAGGCTGCAGGTTTACTGTGTGTTTACTGTATGTTTACTGTGTGTTTACTGTATGTTTGCTGTATATTTACTGATTTGTGTCCTACCTGTCTGTCTGTCCTCCGTGCTCCTGCGTCTGTCTGTCCTCACACTCTGCTGTATTCAGCTCTGCAGCTCTGAGGGTTGTTATGGTCTGTTTACCCCGTCGCCATGACGACATCCTGTCCCACATCAGGGGAGGGCAATAAAACAGAGGGAAGGAGGGAGGAGAGGAGGGGTATTAGTCCTCAGACAGGGTGTCCATGCAGGATCTTGTCAGCTCCCAGAACCTGAGGTCAGAGCCTGAGGTCAGAGGTCAGGGGGATTGTTTATAATATAATAGAAAAGTTAAAATAGAGAAGTAATAGAAATAGATCATTAAAACATTAATAACAAACACACACACACACACTGAGTACGAATATAAAACTATACCAGTAGAGACAATTAATATTTAGTGCTGCAATTGTTCATTTATTGATCTTTATTGATCTTTATTGATCTCTGTATGGAAATTCAAGTGAATAGTGTTGGTCCAAGTACAGAACCTCGTGGAACTCCATGACTAACTAGTATTTATGGAAGATTCATCGTTAACATGTACAAACTGAGAGCGATCTGATAAGAATGACCTAAACCAGCTTAGTGCGGTTCCTTTAATGCCAATTAATTCAATTCAATTTTATTCAATTCAATTTTATTTGTATAATTAATAACAGACATTAATTAAATTCAATTCAAATGGCTTTATTGGCATGACGTAACACTGTACATATTTTAAGACATTCTAAGACATTCCTCTTTGATAAAGCTTATAGTTAGGGCTGGATCAGGTGAGTCCTGAACCATCCCTTAGTTATGCTGTTACAGGCCTAGACTATCGGGGGATTTCCCATGGTGCACTGAGATCCTCTCTTCCTCTCTCTTTCTGCACTCATTCATGTTCCATTAATGCATGTTACTAACTTCACTTCTTCCCCGGAGTTCTTGTGCTTTCTCGTCTCGCAGGTTCTTGTCGATCCTGGTGGAGCCTCCTGCCATGGTCCTGCTAGATTGCCATTGCCAATACTGTTGTTGCTGTACACCTGTCTGTCTGTCTGTCTGTCTGTCTGTCTGTCTCTCTCTCTCTCTCTCTCTCTCTCTCTCTCTGTCTCTCTTTCTCTGTCTCTCACCCCAACTGGTCGAGACAGACGACCACCCACCTAGAGCTGAAGGATCTGTCCAAGGTTTCTGCCTTTTAACAGGCAGTTTTTCCTTGCCCTTGTCGCCAAGTGCTTGCTCATGGTGGTACTGTTGGGTCTCTGTAAATAATGTTTTAAAGAGTTCGGTCTAGACCTGCTCTATTTGAAAAGTGTCCTGAGATAACTTCTGTTATGAATTGGCGCTATACAAATAAAATTCAATTTAATTGAATTGAATATTACCAAAGCAAGCGTTTGGAATTAAAAATAATAAAAGTAACAATTAAGGAAAACAATATTTACAATAAATTAAATACAATCTATACTGTTGGTAATACTGTTACTATGATTGACTCAATCACAATCACAGTCACAATCAATCAATCTCAGTCAATAAATAATTAATTACAATGAATCAATCAATCAGTTTGTGTTAACTAAAAATGTCATTAAAACAGTAGTAAAGTAACAGGCTACAGTTAAAACAAGTAGTCTGTTGTCAATATAACAGTAATAACAAATTATTAAATACAATATATAATATATATAATATTAAAATATATTAAAATTAAAATAAAATAGATAGAAAAATGTAAACGTGTGTGTGTGTGTGTGTGTATATATATTTTTTAAAAAACAAAAAAAACAACTAAAACAATCAATTATTATCTCAGGACACTTTTCAAATACAGCAGGTCTAGACCGAACTCCTTATAACATTATTTACAGAGACCCAACAGTTCCCACCATGAGCAAGACCTTGGAGACAGCGGCAAGGAAAAACTTAATTTTAAGAGTCATCCAGTCCCTGAATTTCCAAAGCGAGAGTTGTAAGTAAGTAAGTCGGACTCATTTCCAGTGGGTGTTGGCCTCCGCCAGGGCTGTGCTTTGTCACCAATCCTGTTTGTGATTTTCATAGACAGGATATCTAGGCATAGTTGTGGTGGTGGTGGTGGGGGGGGGGTTGCAGTTTGGTGGGCTGAGGATTGCATTGTTGCTTTTTGCGGATGATGTGGTCCTGATGGCGTCATCGGCCTGTGACCTTCAGCACTCACTGGATCGATTCGCAGCTGAGAGTCAAGCAGCTGGGATGAGGATCAGCACCTCTAAATCGGAGGCCATGGTTCTCAGCAGGAAACCATTGGATTGTCTACTCCGGGTAGGGAGTGAGTCCTTACCCCAAGTGAAGGAGTTCAAGTACCTCTAGGTTTTGTTCACGAGCTAGGGTAGAATGGAGCAGGAGATTGGCCAGAGAATCGGGGCAGCAGGTATTGCGGTCACTTTATCGAACAGTTGTCACAAAAAGAGAGTTGAGCCAAAAGGCAAAGCTCTCGATCTACCGGTCGATTTTTGTTCCTACCCTCACCTATGGTCATGAGAGATGGGTCATGACAGAAAGAACGAGATCGCGGATACAAGCGGCCGAAATGGGTTTTCTCAAGAGGGTGGTCGGCATCTCCCTTAGGGATAGGGTGAGAAGCTTGATCATCCACGAAGGACTCGGAGTAGAGCGGCTTCTCCTTTGCGTAGAAAGGAGCCAGCTTAGATGGTTCAGGCATCTGGTGCGGATGCCTCCAGGGCGCCTCCCGAGGGAGGTGTTCCTGGCACGTCCAGCTGGGAGGAGGCCACGGGGCAGACTGAGGACCAGGTGGAGAGATTTTATCTCAACACTGGCCTGGGAACGCCTCTGGATCCCCCAGTCAGAGTTGGCCAATGTGGCCAGGGAAAGGGAAGTTTGGTTATTAATAAATATACACACATGAACTGTTCTAATATTAATAAATATACACATGAACTGTTCTAATATTAATAAATATACACATGAACTATATCAACCTGTCTATTAGACCCGATCCCAACTAGGCTGCTTAAAGAAGTTGTTCCCTTAATTGGCACTTCTTTACTGGATATGATTAATCTTTCTTTATTATCAGGATATGTACCACAGTCCTTTAAAGTAGCTGTAATTAAACCCCTTCTTAAAAAGTCCACTCTTGACCCAGGGGTTTTAGCCAATTATAGACCGATTTCTAACCTCCCCTTCCTCTCTAAGATTCTGGAGAAAGTAGTCGCCAAAGAGTTGTGTGAATTTCTACATAACAATAGTTTATTTGAGGATTTTCAGTCAGGATTTAGAGTTCATCATAGCACAGAGACAGCTCTGGTTAAAGTTAATAATGACCTTCTGACTGCTTCTGACAATGGACTTGTCTCTGTACTTGTATTATTAGATCTTAGTGCTGCATTTGACACCATTGACCATAATATTCTTTTGGAGAGACTTGAGCATCAAATTGGCATTAAAGGAACCGCACTAAGCTGGTTTAAGTCATATTTATCAGATCGCTCGCAGTTTGTACATGTTAACGATGAATCTTCAATAAATACTACAGTTAGTCATGGAGTTCCACAAGGTTCTGTACTTGGACCAATACTATTTACTTTATATATGCTCCCTTTAGGCAACATTATTAGGAATCACTCCATTAACTTTCACTGTTATGCAGATGATACGCAGTTATATCTATCAATCAAGCCCAATGAAATTAATCAATTATCTAAATTACAAACATGTCTTAAGGACATAAAATCCTGGATGACCTGCAATTTTCTGATGTTAAACTCAGAAAAAAACGAAATTCTTGTTCTTGGCCCCAAAAACCTTAGAGACTCACTGTCTAAAGATATAGTTACTCTAGATGGCATTAACTTGGCCTCTAGCACCACTGTCAGGAATCTTGGAGTTATCTTTGATCAGGATTTGTCATTTAACTCCCACATAAAGCAGACCTCTAGGACTGCCTTCTTTCATTTACGTAATATTAGAAAAATTAGACACATCCTATCACAGACAGATGCAGACAGACAGACAGGTGCACAGCAACAACAGTATTGGCAATGGCAATCTAGCAGGTCCATGGCAGGAGGCTCCACCAGGATCGATAAGAACCTGTGAGACGAGAAAGCACAAGAACTCCGGGGAAGAAGTGAAGTTAGTAACATGCATTAATGGAACATGAATGAGTGCAGAAAGAGAGAGGAAGGGAGGAGCTCAGTGCACCATGGGAAATCCCCCGATAGTCTAGGCCTATAGCAGCATAACTAAGGGATGGTTCAGGACTCACCTGATCCAGCCCTAACTATAAGCTTTATCAAAGAGGAATGTCTTAAGCCTACTCTTGAATGTGGTGAGGGTGTCTGCCTCCAGAACCACAACTGGAAGCTGGTTCCACAGGAGAGGAGCTTGGTAACTGAAGGCTCTGGCTCCTGTTCTACTTTTAGAGACTATAGGAACCACAAGTAGCCTAGCATTCATAGAACGTAGTGTTCTAGTGGGGTAATAGGGTACTATGAGCTCTTTAAGATATGAAGGGGCCTGACCATGAAGAGCTTTTTAGGTGAGGAGGAGGATTTTAAATTCTATTCTACATTTTACAGGGAGCCAATGCAGAGAAGCTAGTACAGGAGAGATGTGATCTCTTTTTCTAGTTCCTGTCAGTACTCGTGCTGCAGCGTTCTGAATTAATTGGAGCGTTTTAATGGACTTATTGGGGCAACCTGATAATAAAGAGTTGCAGTAATCCAGCCTTGAAGTAACAAATGCATGGATTAGTTTTTCTGTATCTGTCTGTGATAGTATGTGTCTAATTTTTGTAATATTACGTAAATGAAAGAAGGCAGTCCTAGAGGTCTGCTTTATGTGAGAGTTAAATGACAAATCCTGATCAAAGATAACTCCAAGATTCCTGACAGTGGTGCTAGAGGCCAAGTTAATGCCATCTAGAGTAACTATATCTTTAGACAGTCAGTCTCTAAGGTTTTTGGGGCCAAGAACAAGAATTTCGTTTTTTTCTGAGTTTAACATTAGAAAATTGCAGGTCATCCAGGATTTTATGTCCTTAAGACATGTTTGTAATTTAGATAATTGATTAATTTCATCGGGCTTGATTGATAGATATAACTGCGTATCATCTGCATAACAGTGAAAGTTAATGGAGTGATTCCTAATAATGTTGCCCAAAGGGAGCATATATAAAGTAAATAGTATTGGTCCAAGTACAGAACCTTGTGGAACTCCATGACTAACTGTAGTATTTATTGAAGATTCATCGTTAACATGTACAAACTGCGAATGATCTGATAAATATGACTTAAACCAGCTTAGTGCAGTTCCTTTAATGCCAATTTGATGCTCAAGTCTCTGTAAAAGAATATTATGGTCAATGGTGTCAAATGCAGCACTAAGATCTAATAATACAAGTACAGAGACAAGTCCATTGTCAGAAGCAATCAGAAGGTCATTATTAACTTTAACCAGAACTCTAAATCCTGACTGAAAATCCTCAAAAAAACTATTGTTATGTAGAAAGTCACACAACTCTTTGGCGACTACTTTCTCCAGAATCTTAGAGAGGAAGGGGAGGTTAGAAATCGGTCTATAGTTGGCTAAAACCCCTGGGTCAAGAGTGGACTTTTTAAGAAGGGGTTTAATTACAGCTATTTTAAAGGACTGTGGTACATATCCTGATAATAAAGAAAGATTAATCATATCCAGTAAAGAAGTGCCAATTAAGGGTACGACTTCTTTAAGCAGCCTAGTTGGGATCGGGTCTAACAGACAGGTTGATGGCGTTGATGAAGAAATGATTGAAGTTAACTGATGAAGATTGATAGCAGAAAAACAGTCTAAATATATATCTGAGTTTACATTAGTTAAAGTCCCTGAACCTGGAGAGCCACTGATAACTGTTGATGGCAGTTGGTGATTAATTTTCTCTCTAATAGTAATAATTTTATTATAAAAGAAGCACATAAAGTCGTTGCTACTTAAGTTTATGGGGATATGTGGCTCAATAGAGCTGTGGCTCTCTGTCAGCCTGGCTACAGTGCTGAAGAGGAACCTAGGGTTATTCTTATTTTCTTCTATTAGTGCTGAGTAATAGGCTCCTCTGGCATTACGGAGGGCCTTTCTATAAGTTTTAAGATTATATTGCCAAATTGAGCGATATTCTGATCATTTGGAAGAGGGACATTTCCTTTCAGATTTCCTAGCTATTTGCTTTAACTGGCGGGTTTGGTGGTTGTACCACGGTGCTAGTCTCCTATGTTTTAATAATTTCCTTTTTATTGGAGCGATAGAGTCTAATGTTGATCGTAGTGAGCCTGCAGCACTATCGACAAGATTATCAATTTCAGAGGGACTAAAGTCGTTATAGGATTCTGTTAAATTCAGACATGGCATTGAATTAAACACTGAAGGAATCTCCTCCTTAAATTTAGCTACAGCACTGTCAGATAGACATCTGCTGTAGGAAGTTTTGACTAATGGCTTATAATCTAATAGTATGAATTCAAAAGTTATTAAATAATGGTCAGATAGGAAAGGATTATGTGGGAAGACTATTAAATGTTCAATATCAATGCCATATGATAAAACAAGGTCAAGAGTGTGATTAAAACAATGAGTTGGTTTATTTACACTCTGACAGAAGCCAATTGAGTCTATTAATGATATAAATGCATTACAAAGGCTGTCACTGTTAACATCCACATGAATATTAAAATCACCTACAATAATTAATAAATATAAAACATGAACTGTTCTAATATTATTAAAAATACACATGAACTGTATTAATATTAATAAATATACAGCAGTGAGTCTCTCACAATCCCTCACCAACGTATAGGAGCAGAGGAGGTTTAAAGGCAAACGTGGAGTTAATCACCATGACAACATAACTCAGGTAAAACAGTTTCACCTGAGTTCACCTGAACTTATGTGGTTCTGCTGATCTGGTCAGACTGGTCCACCTGTTGATGGTTTAAATAAACTGAACCCAAACAGCACATCAATGGAGCTGTCGTCATGGTAACCGAGACACAAACATGTAAACAGAGTGGAGACAGGAAGTGTCTGACAGGAAGTACTTCAATGTGTTTGTGAACAGGAGGGAGAGAGAGACAGAGAGAGACAGAGACAGAGAGAGAGACAGAGAGAGTGTAAGTAACATGTCCCCAACAGCCTCAGGACAGCAACACCAACTCAATCAGACCAAACCAAATTATCAACAAGCAAAAAGAAAAATATATTGAATACTGGAAAGAATCGAGCAAAACACAAAGTAAATTACAATGTTATCTGACCCTAAAAAGAGGATTCACACTGGCAAATTACCTGAGCACAATAAAATGTCCTAAACTAAGAACAATGTTGACAATGTACAGACTGAGTGAACACAGCCTGGCCATAGAAACGGGTCGCCACAGACAGAACTGGCTACCAGAAGAGGAGAGACTCTGCTCCCAGTGTGACAGAGGACAGGTAGAGACAGAGCTGCACTTTCTAACCTCATGCCCTAAATTCAAAACTTTAAGAGAAAAACAATTTGCAAACATTTCCCAAATATACCCCGATTTAGAATTATTATCAGACACACAGAAACTCCCCTATTTACTGGGAGAAATGCCAAAAAGTCAAATTATTGCAGCAAAATATGTCTCCTCATGCCACGAACTGAGGACGACCAGTGGAAACTCTAACTAAAATAATATATATATAATTTTTATTTTCTAACACACACACACGCTTACTATTTTATTTATTTATTTTAATTTTTAATATATTATTTTCATTTTCTAACTTTTTTCTTCTTCTTTGTTATTACTGTTATATTGACAACAGACTACTTGGTTTAACTGTAGTTACTTTACTACTGTTTTAATGATATTTTTAGTTAACACAAACTGAAACATTGATTGATTCATTGTAATTAATTACTTATTGACTGAGATTGATTGATTGTGACTGTGATTGTGATTGAGTCAATCATAGTTACAGTATTACCAACAGTATAGATTGTAATTAATTTATTGTAAATATTGTTTTCCTTTATTGTTATTATTATTTTTAATTCCAAACACTTGCTTTGGCAATATGTACAGTGTTACATCGTCATGCCGATAAAGCCATTTGAATTGAATTGAATTGAGAGAGAGAGAGAGAGAGAGAGAGAGAGAGAGAGAGACACAGACAGACAGACAGAGAGAGACAGAGAGAGAGAGAGAGAGAGAGAGAGAGAGACAGACAGACAGATAGACAGACAGACAGGTGCACAGAAACAACAGTAGCAACAACTACACTAATAGTAGTGATTGATGATGACGAACATGAAGAAGATGATCACGCGACAACAGCAACGATGGGGGACAATGAGCAGTGACAATAGTAATAATAGTAACTGTAGTAATAATAATATTAATAATAATAACAAATATGCAGTCGAAGAGGCAGAAAAATAATAATTTCTTCCATTAATAGGGCCTTCACACGGTCAGTGCGAAGACAGGAGCTCAGTGCACAATGGGAAATGTATTTATTTATCATCAGAATCAGAATCAGAAGTAGGTTTCACACCTATGAGGAATGTGTCCTGGTGCATTGGTGCATAAAATATACAGATCACACAGAAATGGCACAGAAACTAACTAACTCTAACTGTGTTACAGTGTGGAAGTGAACAGGAAGTGACCTCATGTTGGTGGTTGTGTCAGCAGGAAGCAGCTGTCAGTGTGGGCGGACTTCAGTATGACATCATGTGGTTCAGTTTCTTTTTATTCATCTGATGGAAAAAACATCAACAAATGAATCTGTGGAGACTCCTGAGGTCATTGTGTACTGGTCTGTTTCCAGGAAATAGCCACAGCCTCAGTGTGTGTGTGTGTGTGTGTGTGTGTGTGTGTGTGTGGTGAGAGTGTCTGACATACTTTTCATCGCTGCTCCTGTTTGATCGACGCTGTTTTGATTTTGTCATAACTTGTTGCCGGGGCAACCCTTCCTGAAATCGCAGAGGGTAGATGACATACAACAACAACACACACACACACACACACACACACACACACACACACAGACATACACATACGCACATACACACACACACACACACATATATATACACAGTCATTATATACACTGTCATTATATATACTGTCATTATATATACAGTCATTATATATAGTCATTATATAAACTGTCATTATATATACTGTCATTATATAAACTGTCACTATATAAACTGTCATTATATATATAGTCATTATATAAACTGTCATTATATATACTGTCATTATATATACTGTCATTATATATACTGTCATTATACATACTGTCATTATATACACAGTCATTATATATAGTCATTATATATACAGTCATTATATACACTGTCGCTATATATACAGTCATTATATACACTGTCATTATATATACTGTCATTATACATACTGTCATTATATACACAGTCATTATATATAGTCATTATATACACTGTCATTATATATACTGTCATTATATACACAGTCATTATATATAGTCATTATATACACTGTCATTATATATACTGTCATTATATATACAGTCATTATATATAGTCATTATATAAACTGTCATTATATATACTGTCATTATATACACTGTCACTATATAAACTGTCATTATATATATAGTCATTATATAAACTGTCATTATATATACTGTCATTATATACACTGTCATTATATATACTGTCATTATACATACTGTCATTATATATAGTCATTATATATACGTCATGACACTCTCTAGCTTCATCTCATTCACCCATTCCATCCTTAAAATTAAATCTTCCACCATTCAAGCCTACATAAGTGGTATAAACTTCTTTATCAAACTATCCTCCGGAGCATCATGCCAAGCCACTTCTCATTCCCATATCATCATGTTAATTAAAGGTTTCCGCAAAACAGAAACGCATCCCTCACCAAAACGCTTGCCCTTAACTTCAGACCTACTCACTCGCTGCATCAGAACTCTCCGAGAAGGCTATTCATCCCCGTATATTGATAAGGTCCTGGAATCCATGTTCCTTCTAGCTTTCTTTGGTTTTCTGCGCTGCTCCAAATTCACAGCTTCTACCCTCAAATATGATCCTTCTCACCACACATCCATGTCTGACATTTCCTTTCATTCCACCGACACCCTCATCATAGACTCATATTTGAGTCCTTTTGAACCGATACTAGAATACACCAACTCCAGGTTAGCCAGCAGAGCTTCCCCACAGGACCCTCTGTTTATCACTGAGACCGGTAAAATAGCCACATGGAACTGGTTCCACCGGCACTTCCGTCAAATCCTGTCCAAATCAGGAATATCCCCAGAATCCTTCTCTGGGCATTCTTTCCGCATCGGAGCCGCCTCCTCCGCTTCCAAGCAGGGAATCCCAGACAACATCATCAAACTCCTCGGCCAATGGTCTTCTCCTGCTTATCTCACATACATTCGCAATGACATAAACAACATCAAAAACGCTCACGCGCACCTGTCTTGCTGAAGTTTCTTTGGGGGCTCACGAAGAGATACGAGACAGTTCCCCCACCCAGCGTCTCAACTCCCACTCTGTTCCTCCTGACCATCCCGCCGAACTCCTCCCTCCATCCACCTATCCTACCAGCTTTTCTCACTTTCTATCAACCCTCACCCGTCCTTCCTATACCCCCTCATCCCTCAACCCCTCGGCCCTTTCCCCCATCCCTCGACCCCTGCCCCATCATCCCTTCATCCTTCCATCCCTCGACCCTTTCCCTCCCAGTATTCAATATATGTTTATAACATGTAATAAAATTTTCCTTATTCCATACAGCCATTGGCGTGGTCTTTGTTAGTGAAATTAAGTTTTATAACTAGGTTTGGGAACAAAGACCACACCCCGAAGTCATCTCATTTCCATTCAAAACATATTTAAGCACACCTTTTCCGTTCACTCCCTCCTTGACTAATTTTCTACATCCCTCCCCCCCAATATCCTCCTTTCTTTTTGTTTTCTCTCTCTTATCCAAATACAGGAACCACTGGGGCTCACAAAGAGATACGAGATGGTTCCCCCACTCAGCATCTCAACACCCACTCTGTTCCTCCTGACCATCTCGCCGAACTCCTCCCTCCATCCACCTATCCGACCAGCTTTTCTCCCTTTCTATCAACCCTCACCCATCCTTCCTATACCCCCTCATCCCTCAACCCTCGACCCTTTCCCCCATCCCTCGACCCCTACCCCATCATCCCTTCATCCTTCCATCCCCTCCATCCCTCGACCCTTTCCCTCTCAGTATTCAATATATGTCAATAACATGTAATAAAATGTTCCTTGTTCCATACAGCCATTGGCGTGGTCTTTTTTAATGAATATACACTGTCATTATATATACAGTTATTATATAAACTGTCATTGATCTGAATATGATACATGTAAATGTAAAATCAAACATTGTTAAATATGCCACTCGGTGCTGCTTTTCACAAGTTTTGGAGAATGTTGCAGCTGCCAAAAATGTGATATTTTGGACATAAACTAATAACAATGTGAAGTGTTATAATAATCAATCAGACTGATTGATCGTATGTCTGTATGGAAGCCTCAGGATGGACATATGGATATAAACGTATTGATAGTGATCAGTTTTTATCGTTTATTGAGAAACAGATAAAATCAGCTGACAGGTGAAAAAACATCAGAAACATTTCAGAAGAAGGTTTTAGCACAAACACGAAGATTAAACACATCCAGCAGCTGTTAGCTTAGCTTAGCATAGAGAGTGGAAACAGAGGTTAACTGCTAGCTTATATACTCTAGCTGTTGTTTTTACACTGGCTGCTGGAGGGTGCATTCATCAGAGCCAGGCTAACGGTTTACACTCGTTTACAGTCTTTATGCTAAGCTACACTAGCTGGTATAGAGAGCAGGAGGCGTTCACCCTGAGCCGCAGTTTGCAGCATGGCAGCAAGGTGCCGCTACACAAACAACAACAGGATGACACTAGACTACAGACGCTGGAGGCTTCTGATTGGCTGAAAATTGACAGTTAAAAAGTGATAAAAACGCTGTGAACAACTTGTGAAAGAAGCTTCTAATAAAAATCAATATATTGATCAAATAGTGATTAAATCATTGATTAATTTGTGTCATTTTATCGTCTTTATTGATTTCATATCAGTTCTGTTGGATTGACACAACAGAACGTGCATGTTGTCAGCATTAGCATTAGCATGATTGTACTATAGCAGTGGGTCTGAGGTGGAACTAGACAGGAAATGATGTCAGCCCTGGGTTACCATGGGGACCATTGAGCTGCAGTTAAACTCCATTAAACTGGGAACCCGTAAAACCAACTGGGAGTCTCATGAGTTAGTATAACTCGGTACCAGCAGTTCTACAGTGTGTAGCATGTAGCATGTAGCATTTACTGTAGTATGTACTGCTGGTAGGCGATTATGAAATCCAGACACACACACACACACACACACACACACACACACACAGGTATAAATTTAAGGTTTCAGGGTCCTGATCAGACCTGAGACCAGGATCTGACCTTTGGCATCAAAAGAAAAAGTCTTCATTAAATAAAACCAGTATAGACCACTACACAGTCCACTCAGGTCACAGCTCCATCCAGGACCCTGCTCCTGAGCCCAAAGATGCCCGGGATGCCGGTCTGGACCCGGGCCTAGACCCGGGCCTGGAGTCAGGCCTGGAGCCGGTCCTGGAGCCAGTCTGCCTCTTGCCCAGACTGAGGCCTTCCTCCCGGGGCTCTGGGGCGTCCCCGCTGGACCGGCTGACGAACACAGTGGGGGGGTGGGTGGAGGCCATCTCGAACCTCAGCTCCGCAATGCTCTTATGTGCACGGGAGGAGGTCTTCCTCTTAGTCCTGGTCTGGGGGGAGGGTAGGGGGAAGGCTGGGGGGACTCTGTGTGAGGAGGCGTCTCCGGCGGCGGAAGACGAGGAGCCCAGTTTGGCCAAAACCACCGGGATCTCCTCCAGAGACTCCGCAGAGTCCGAGTGGTACTCAGCAGGAGGGGCGGCGGCCTGGATGGGGCCCAGGGCCAGGGGGGGTAGGGAGGCCCTCAGAGGGAAGGCTGGGAAAGGAAGCCGTTGACCCAGAGACACAGTGGACACACTGCTGGGCTCTAAAGGATGACACAAGCACACAGGAAATGATGTCAAATCCACCACAATAAACGTCATTTCAAACAGATTATTGTCGCAGTACAGAGGGCAGCCATCTTTAATGAGGTCACTTCTTCCTCCTCCTCCTCCACTCCATTCTTTCTACAATAAATCCATTATATGTTTATTTAACTCTACCTGCGTGTCCTGCTGTCAGCTTCTTTACTCTTTACATTCATAACTCAGGTTCAGGCTCGAGAGTTAGGGCAATGCATTATGTTATCAGGGTCTTAGTGTGTGTGTGTGTGTGTGTGTGTGTGTGTGTGACCAGGTGGCGGGGCTGTACTCGGACAGCGCTCTCTAGTGACCTCTGCTGGAACTTTACGGACCTTCTTCTTCTGCGAAAGCACGAAAACAGTTTAAATGTCACCAGACTTCAAATTCTCCATTGACAGTGCACGTACACACACACACACACACACACACACACACACCAGCAACCAATCCGGTAGATCAATAATAAAGTGTTTGTAATGTAAACAGATTGGAGATAATCTCATTCATGATGGTTACTGAGACACCTAGTAGTAAAATGTGGTATTACTGATCATTTTACATCGACCCCTAACACCCCCTCATCTCCTCCCCGTTACCATGGAGACAGTGAGTGACCTCTGTGTGTCTGAAGGTTTATTTTATTGTGCTTGTGGGGACTAAGGTGCTGATCCAAGTTGAGAGGTCTGTTTGAGGGTTCAGACTCAGTTTTAAGGTTTGGGGTTGGGGTCAATGAGGGTTCTCACAAAGATAGAAGTACAAGGAGGAGTGTGTTTACCTGTGTGCGTCGGTGTGCGTGCGCTGCTGCTCTCAGCTCTGTAGACGCAGTGGGCGGAGTCTCTTCCTCCATTACAGGACTGGACAGAGTCCTCAGTCTGCCGTTAGCCAGGAACCTGAGACACACACACACACACACACACACTGTGAGTGGATATGTTGGCAGGCTAACGTTAGCTGTTCCATGATACTAACTTTTGTATTATGTGTTGAGTTTATCCAACAATAAATGATGTAGCTGTACAAAGCTTACGGCAGCTTTGCGAGGCCGCAGCGTTCTTGGTGGCGTAAGAACATTACAGATAAATATGATTGATTTATTTTACAGTCTCGTGTACGTCAGGGCGCCGGTTTGGCCAATGCCTGTGATGGTGCCAGTTTGTTGCAGCTTAACAACGCTAGCTACTGCACAACTGTGTCTGTCTGACAGCAGTTAGGCTCCGCCCACAGAGAAGGTGTGAAGGTCTGCTGTTACACTTAAGTGATGAATTGGCACTGACTGCAGTTCAGTGATCTGTGGTGTAGTTTTACTCTTCTGTTTGCAGTGTGTGTGTGTGTGTGTGTGTGTGTGTGTAAATAAAGTTTGCTCTGTGAGTTATTCCTGTCAGCCTCCTCCCAGAGCTCAAACACACACACAGTAACACTCTGTTTGCTTCCTGGTGTCACGGCCAAAGAATTTCACTGTGTTTTCTGCACAGAGAGCGTCTCCATGGCGACAGGGTCCAGCCTCACTGTGGTATGAGATGACTGCACACAGAGGGCTGGACCCGGGTCGTCCACACACTTACTCTGCCTCCCCCCTCACAGCCACAGGGTCCTCCACGTCCAGCTGAGGGTTGGTGTAACCCAGAGTCCCTGAGTAGTTCACATCCTGAGGGGGTCACACAAACAGTCAGATCTAATGTAATGTAATGTAAGTAATAATACTGCTGTTAGTACTGCCATTAGTACTGAGATAATACTGCGATAAGTACTGCGATTAGTACTGCGCTGTTCTATTAACTGTCATTGATAGTTATTAACTGTTATTAATTGTTATCAACTGTTATTAATTGTTATTAACTGTTATTAACTGTTACTAACTGTTATTATTGTTACTAACTGTTACTAACTGTTATTGTTATTGTCATTATTTGTTATGAACTGTTATTAATTTGTGTTTTTTCGGTTAGACCCGATCCCAACTAGACTGCTTAAAGAAGTTGTTCCCTTAATTGGCACTTCTTTACTGGATATGATTAATCTTTCTTTATTATCAGGATATGTACCACAGTCCTTTAAAGTAGCTGTAATTAAACCCCTTCTTAAAAAGCCCACTCTTGACCCAGGGGTTTTAGCCAACTATAGACCGATTTCTAACCTCCCCTTCCTCTCAGATTCTGGAGAAAGTAGTCGCCAAAGAGTTGTGTGACTTTCGACATAACAATAGTTTATTTGAGGGTTTTCAGTCAGGATTTAGAGTTCATCATAACACAGAGACAGCTCTGGTTAAAGTTAATAATGACCTTCTGATTGCTTCTGACAATGGACTTGTCTCTGTACTTGTATTATTAGATCTTAGTGCTGCATTTGACACCATTCATACTTTGCACGTGACGTCACAACTACTAGCTGGTGGGCAAGAACATTGTTCTCCAGCAACGAAACCCAGTAAACTAATCAAGGATCTTGCCGGGACGTCACCAGTTTTACTATACAAAAGTATATATATATCATATGTACGTGATTTGATATGATATGATGAGAAGAAGAATACATGTTACAGTACACACGTTACTGTTGTACTGCGTCATGTTAACGTTACTTATTTACAGTTACTTTGCATACATACTATCGTACAGTTATTACTACTACATTAACGTTACAACCTAACAGATTGCTAACAGGATTAAAGGCATTTCGCTGCCCCAGCTGCTCTTGTCTGTTGTCTGATGCTATGTGGAGTGGATGAGCAGGTAGGCTACAATGTTTGACATCCTGTTAGCCATATATGATACAGCCTAGTTGGCATAAGGTTTTTTTTAAACTAATGTTACTTATCAAGCTGTCATTCGCGGGCAGGCAGGTTGTACATATTCAGATGAAGACTTCATCACACGACGGAACAGATGTCACTTTGTGTATAGCTACAAACATGCAAACATTAGCAAACGTTAGCGGGTAACATTAGCTGGCTAACTAGTAACACTCACGTTTGCTTTGATTATGAAGATATTCCTGTTTTTCACCTCCCATACGACAGCGTTGTTAACCCATCCACTCTTGAAAAAAGATAGCTATCCGTACTTTTGTAGACTTTAATTTTTTGTGCAGTGTAAGGTGACAGATATATGTAACTATATATGTTTCTTGCCCGCCAGGTAACCATGGTAATCACGTGACTGCAAAGTATGAATTGACCATAATATTCTTTTACAGAGACTTGAGCATCAAATTGGCATTAAAGGAACCGCACTAAGCTGGTTTAAGTCATATTTATCAGATCATTCGCAGTTTGTACATGTTAACGATGAATCTTCAATAAATACTACAGTTAGTCATGGAGTTCCACAAGGTTCTATACTTGGACCAATACTATTTACTTTATCTATGCTCCCTTTAGGCAACATTATTATCACTCCATTAACTTTCACTGTTATGCAGATGATACGCAGTTATATCTATTGATCAAGCCCGATGAAATTAATCAATTACTAAATTACAAACATGACTTAAGGACATAAAATCCTGGATGAGCTGCAATTTTCTGATGTTAAACTCGAAATTCTTGTTCTTGGCCCCAAAAACCTTAGAGACTCACTGTCTAAAGATATAGTTACTCTAGATGGCATTAACTTGGCCTCTAGCACCACTGTCAGGAATCTTGGAGTTATCTTTGATCAGGATTTGTCTTTTAACTCCCACATGAAGCAGACCTCTAGGACTGCCTTCTTTCATTTACGTAATATGTGACCTGCTCCATCATTTTGAGTCACTTTGACCCAACACATTTTGAGTTTTCTTCATGGCTGTAAAGAGGAAAGTCTCAGCTTTATGGCGATACCAAAATTATTTTTCTACTCCAAAAATTGTATGAGACACGCTCTTCCAAAGGTTGACTGTCACCCAACCTTGTTTTTGAGAAAAAGCACTCTAAAGATAGCAATCAACATTCCGTCATATTCCAAATGAATTGAAAGACATTTATAAACAGTTTATATTCAAATAAATAAACTTAAAATTCAAAGTGCTTTACATAATTATAATCAGAGACATTGTATGCTACCATCGGGTCAGCCACGAGTGGAATATCTTCCTCCTCCATCACGATCGGAGCCGGCCGGTGTTGGTAGCGCGTAATCTGAGTCAGACTCGGAGGTCGAGCCGCTGCTGTCACTCTCACTCTCAGCTGCCGGTGCGGTGAAATAGTCCGTAATAAGGTCGATCCAGTTGTCATCTGAAGTAGCATGTCTTACAGGAATTTAATTTAAAAGTCGAGCAATTTCGTCGTCGCGAAAATTCCTTTTGTCTAGGCTGTCAATCTGTCAATCTGTCTCCGTGTCTGTGTCTATCTAAACTGACAGTTGACAGATGACACCTGTTTCGTTTTATTTATGCTACCTATATTTATCCTTTGTATTTTACATTAATTTTGACATGGTATGAAAGCTGAGACTTTATTTAATTAGAAACATGTAAAAACTGAAAATAGCCCAAAATTGTATTTTCTTGTAAAAACGTGTTTCTACACAAACGGGCCGCTGCGACATCCGACTCATTTTGATGTAACGTGTCACATATTACAAAGATTAGACACATACTATCACAGACAGATGCAGAAAAACGAATCCATGCATTTGTTACTTCTAGGCTGGATAACTGCAACTCTTTATTATCAGGTTGCCACAATAAGTCCATTAAAATGCTCCAATTAATTCAAAACTCTGCAGCACGAGTACTGACAGGAACTAGGAAAAAAGATCACATCTCTCCTGTACTAGCTTCTCTGCATTGGCTCCCTGTAAAATATAGAATAGAATTTAAAACCCTCCTCCTCACCTATAAAGCTCTTCATGGTCAGGCCCCTTCATATCTTAAAGAACTCATAGTACCCTATTACCCCTCTAGAACACTACGTTCTCTGAATGCTGGGCTACTTGTGGTTCCTATAGTCTCTAAAAGTAGAACAGAAGCCAGAGCCTTCAGGTACCAAGCTCCTCTCCCGTGGAACCAGCTTCCAGTTGTGGTTCTGGAGGCAGACACCCTCTCCAAATTCAAGAGTAGGCTTAAGACATTCCTCTTTGATAAAGCTTATAGTTAGGGCTGGATCAGCTGAGTCCTGAACCATCCCTTAGTTATGCTGCTATAGGCCTAGACTATCGGGGGATTTCCCATGGTGCACTGAGCTCCTCTCTTCCTCTCTCTTTCTGCACTCGTTCATGTCCCATTAATGCATGTTACTAACTTCACTTCTTCCCCGGAGTTCTTGTGCTTTCTCGTTTCGCAGGTTCTTATCGATCCTGGTGGAGCCTCCTGCCATGGTCCTGCTAGATTGCCATTGCAAATACTGTTGTTGCTGTGCACCTGTCTGTCTGTCTGTCTGTCTGTCTGTCTGTCTCTCTCTCTCTCTCTCTTTCACCCCAACTGGTCGAGACAGACGACCACCCACCTAGAGCCGAAGGATCTGTCCTAGGTTTCTGCCTTTTAACAGGCAGTTTTTCCTTGCCCTTGTCGCCAAGTGCTTGCTCATGGTGGTACTGTTGGGTCTCTGTAAATAATGTTTTAAAGAGTTCGGTCTAGACCTGCTCTATTTGAAAAGTGTCCTGAGATAACTTCTGTTATGAATTGGCGCTATACAAATAAAATTGAATTTAATTAATTGTCATTAATTGTTACTAACGTTACTGTTATTAATTGTTATTAACTGTTATTAACTGTTATTAACTGTTATTAACTGTTATTAATTGTTCTTAACTGTTCTTAACTTTTACTAACTGTTTTTAATTGTAATTAACTGTTATTAATTGTTAATAACTTTTACTAACTGTTTTTAAGTGTAATTAACTGTTATTAATTGTTATTAACTGTAACTAACTTTTACTAACTGTTTTTAATTGTAATTAACTGTTATTAATTGTAAACTGTTATTAACTGTTACTAACTGTTATTAATTGTTAATAACTGTTATAAAATGTTACTAACTGTTATTAACTGTTTTTAATTGTTATTAACTGTAATTAATTGTTATTGATTGTTACTAAGTTGTTATTAACTGTCAGTTACCTTGATGAGGTTGAGTGACGGGGCTGCCGTCTCCTTCACTGATCCTGGTTTCCTTGAGTCCCTGTTGTCCTGACGGTGGCGCTGTCGCACAATGTACTCATAGGTACTGAGTCTGTTCCACACTGCACACACACACTCTCTGTTATTAAGGACAGTATTTATTGACATCCAGGAGGTTGTTCTCTGTTTGCTGCTCCAGAAACAAACACACATATCATCCACAATCAACAAATATTGAAATATTATTCTTGACTTGTAAATGTAACCGATGTGTTCTTACAGTTTGTTATATTTCACCAAAAATCCATCTTTCTCAATATTTTGTTATTTTTTCTGTATAAACCTGTTTTTGTGTGTATTTATTTTGGGGAGCTTTTATTTTGTTAATTGTATTTTGGCTGTGTGACCGTTGACCTGTTAGTGATGTCACTTCCGGTGTTGTCGTGCTATCTTCCTCAGTAGCGGTACGCTATGCTGAGGAGAGGTAGGACAACCTGAGTGCTCTGGTTCAAAGTGAAAAATAAAAACATGAAAACATGTTAAAAACGCTAAATAGAGGTTCTAACTGTACTTTATAACAGTTGCCAGTTTTGTTCTTTGTTATGGTGATTTTTGTTTAAATGTGTACATAAAGTTTTACTGTGTACAGCACTTTTTGTGTGAGATGTTAGCTCCCCTGCTTAATGAAGAGCACACAGGCAGTTTCTCATGCACTGGCTCTTTTCTCCCTCTCGTTTAAAGGTGTGCGTGTGGGAACCAAGTTGCTGTACTGATTTTATGTGTGTTGTACACAGGTATGTGAGTACTCCCCTTGTTTTTTGTGATGTAAATGTTATTTTTATACATGTAGTTTTTTATCTTTGTTCATGTTTACATTTGACATTTATTAATGAAATATAAAAATTGCCGTTGGTGTGTGGGGAAATGTTATATATTAGGGTATAATATAATATATAGGGATGCACCGATACCGATATTGGTAACGGGTATCGGGACGATACTAGTCTAATATACTCGTACTCGTACTCATTAAAGTTTATCGATACCATGAACCGATGCCAATTTATTACATGCAATTGCTTTGCTTGAAGACCGCGATCAGAGGGTGGCTTGTCATTTCTGTTGTATTTTTTAGATTGGCGGCTAGGGGAGATGTCGAGCTATTCAGGAACAGTGTGGTTAGGCGAGTGAGACTGGCAGCTTAAAAAATTTAATAAAAATCTGGCGGGTGCAGTAGGCTAACAGCATGTCAGCAGTGTGGACAATATGCGACGATGACAGAAGCAAGGCAGAGTGCAAACTGTGTACTGGTAAGGTGTCCAGGGGAGGGAAAGAGAGTCATCGTTTAATATGAGCAATTTGATAAAACATCTGAGGACACATCATAACCCTAAGTACACCGAGTTTACTAAGGCTAATGCAAAACCACAACAGCCAACTTTAACTCAGGTTTTGGAAAAGCGAGAAAAAATGTCAAGAGAAAAATCCACGGGCAGTTAAAATAACAGAGGCTCTGACACATTTTATTGCCCTGGATGACCAGCCACTGTCAGTTGTGGAAAACGTAGGATTTCGCCGTCTTCTCAGCACACTCGAGCCATGATATGAGATTCCCAGCGGCCCCTACATCACGGACGTTATGGTGCCAAAACTTTTTGACGAGGTAAAAAAACACGTGCGCAACCTGGTGAATCCAGGTTTCAGCCTTAAGTTTCACTATGGACATTTGGCGCAGTGGATTGATGAGGAGTTCGTTCGTCACACTACATGCAAAGTCGTTCTGGGGCTCGCACACCAGCCAAACCATCGCAGGTGCTTTCGATAGCATGCTCCAGACCTGGGACATACCAAAGACGTCCGTCCACGTAGTGCTCCGAGACAACGCAAGAAATATGATAAAGGCCATGAGTGATGCTGAGCTGCTCAGCCTACCTTGTACTGCTCACACTCTCCAGCTGGTGGTTCACGAGGGCCTTCTGTCACAGAGGAGTGTTGCTGATGCGGTGGCAGTCGGCCGCAAAATAGTTGGGCATTTTAAACATTCTACTCTGGCCAACTCCCGCCTCGAGGACATTCAATTAGAGATCAACCAGCCTGCGAAGCGGCTCCAGCAAGACGTACAGACCCGCTGGAATAGCACCTTTTATATGATACAGTCATTGATTGAGCAGAATAGGGCTCTGGGAATATTCGTGTCTGAATATGGACTCCCTGATACTCTGACAGCTCACCAGTGGACACAGTTAAGTCACTGTGCTGCACAGATTTCTAACAAGGGAGACTGATGAGGACCATGGGATCAAAGAAATGAAGGGAACCTTGGCTGCTGCTGTCAGGAAGCGATTCACTGATGTGGAGGAAAACCCACTCTACAGCATCGCCACGCTACTCGATCCCAGGTGATTGTGTGCCTGTGTGTGTGACTGTGTGTAACTGTGACTGTGTGTGACTGTAACTGTGTGTGACTGTGTGTGACTGTGACTGTGTGTGACTGTACTGTGTAACTGTGTGTGACTGTAACTCCGCATCCTGTGACGTGCTACGGTAAGCGTACTGACTCATTTCCGGTTCACTTCCTGCTCTGTGTACACTGTTTGGTGCTGTAGCTCTGTCAGTGAACGCTAAATATACATTAGTTTTACTCGTTACAGCGGTTATTTTCCCGCTTAATATTTAAACGTAGACTAGTTCTACCTAAACACTCGGAGTTTCTCCTTCTTTTAGCGACTTTTCGCTATTTTCAAAGTTTTTCATACACACTAGTTTCATTAGCATTAGCAGTTAGCTATGGCTTCTCCCTCTCCCTCTCCTCTGTCCTGCTCAGTGTGTCAGATGTTCAGTTATTCCTCTGCCTCCTTTAATGATAATGGTTCTTGTATTAAGTGTAGTTTATTTACTGCGCTGGAGGCGAGGCTTAGTGAGTTAGAGGAACGGCACCGCACCACGGAGATATCTTTAGCCGCTATAGTTAGCCAGCCCCCAGTAGCCGGTGCGGTCCGACCGAAGGTAGCTTCTGTTGGATCTGTAGTTCCCCCGGTAGTTCCCCCGGTAGTTCCCGAGCAGCCGGGAAGACAGGGAGGCTGGGTGACTGAGCGAAGGAAGACTAAAACACTGAAGCCCACAGTTCACCACCAACCGCTTCACGTTTCTAATACATTTTCCCCACTCAGCGACACACCCGCTGAGGAACCAACTCTGGTTATTGGCAGCTCCATAGTCAGAAACGTGAAGTTAGCGAAGCCAGCGGCCATAGTTAAATGTATCCCTGGGGCCAGAGCGGGCGACATTGAATCATATTTAAAACTGCTGGCTAAAGGTAATCGTAAATATAGTAAGATTGTTATCCACGTCGGCGGTAATGACACCCGTTTACGCCAATCGGAGGTCACTAAGATTAATGTGGAGTCGGTGTGTAATTATGCTAAAACTATGTCGGACTCCGTAGTTTTCTCTGGACCCCTCCCCAATGTGACCAGTAATGACATGTATAGCCGCATGTCGTCATTCCACCGCTGGCTGTCGAGGTGGTGTCCAGCAAATGATGTGGTCTGATTAGGAGAGACGGCATCCATCCCACTTTGGATGGAGCGGTTCTCTTATCTAGAAATATGGCGAAGTTTATTTCTAAAACCTGACAGTCCAGAGTTAGGACCAGGAAGCAGAGCTGCTGTCTTACACACTTCTCTGCGCTTTCTTTAGAACAGTCACCCACCCAAAACCCCATAGAGACTGTGTCTGTCCCCCGACCACCTAAATTATTTAAAGAAATAAAAACAAGAGGAGTTCAACATAAAAATCTAATAAAAATTAAAACCAACTCCTCAGTAGCACTAAATAAGAGAATGAAATGTGGGCTGTTAAATATCAGGTCTCTGTCCTCTAAAGCTGTTTTAGTGAATGAATGAATGAATTAATATCAGATTATGACATTGATTTACTTTGAGACCTGGTTGTCCCACGAGGAGTATGTTAGCCTAAATGAATCCACCCCCCCAGTCATATTAATACTCACATTCCTCGAGGCACAGGCCGAGGAGGTGGAGTAGCAGCCATATATGATTCGAGCGTTTTAATGGACCATAAACCTAAACTAAATTATAATTCATTTGAAAGCCTTGTTCTTAGTCTTTCTCACCCAAACTGGAAAACACTGCAGCCAGTTCTATTTGTTATAGTGTACCGCGCTCCTGGACCGTACTCTGATTTTATATCTGAATTCTCAGAGTTTTTATCAAGTTTAGTCCTTAAATCAGATAAAGTAATTATTGTAGGTGATTTTAATATTCATGTGGATGTTAACAATGACAGCCTTAGTAATGCATTTATATCATTAATAGACTCAATTGGCTTCTGTCAGAGTGTAAATAAACCAACTCATTGTTTTAATCACACTCTTGACCTTGTTTTATCATATGGCATTGATATTGAACATTTAATAGTCTTCCCACATAATCCTTTCCTATCTGACCATTATTTAATAACTTTTGAATTCATACTATTAGATTATAACCCATTAGGCAAAACTTCCTACAGCAGATGTCTATCTGACAGTGCTGTAGCTAAATTTAAGGAGGAGATTCCTTCAGTGTTTAATTCAATGCCATGTCTGAATTTAACAGAATCCTATAACGACTTTAGTCCCTCTGAATTTGATAATCTTGTCGATAGTGCTGCAGGCTCACTACGATCAACATTAGACTCTATCGCTCCTATAAAAAGGAAATTATTAAAACATAGGAGACTAGCACCTTGGTATAACCACCAAACCCGCCAGTTAAAACAAATAGCTAGGAAATCTGAAAGGAAATGGCGCTCTTCCAAATTATCAGAATATCGCTCAAATTGGCAAGATAATCTTAAAACTTATAGAAAAGCCCTCCGTAATGCCAGAGGAGCCTATTACTCAGCATTAATAGAAGAAAATAAGAATAACCCTAGGTTCCTCTAGACCTGCTCTATTTGAAAAGTGTCCTGAGATAACTTCTGTTATGAATTGGCGCTATACGAATAAAATTGAATTAAATTGAATTGAACTGTGTGTTAATGTAACTGTGTGACTGTGACTGTGTGTGACTGTAACTGTGTGTGACTGCGTGTGACTGAGTTAAAATGGCAAGAATGCCTATTGTCGGCTACATTTTTTCTTTCTCTGTTTTAGGTATAAAAATGGTTTTTTCTCCAGCACCACCACTGCTGCAAATGCCAAAGAGATGCTGAAACTTGAGCTGCTAAGATTGCCTGGAGAAGTGGACAAGCAGGAGGATGATGACCTGAATGAACTACCTTCAAGAAAACCACGCAGTGACCAGCCCGGTAGTAGTCTAGACAGCATATTTGATTAAATTGCATCAGCATCAGCATCAGTGGGCAGAGCTGCAGTAGGTTCTAGTGTACAGTTAGAGACATATCTTGGAGAGGCCGCAATTTCACAAGAAGACAATCCACTACAATACTGGGTGGTTAATAAAGTGCGGTTCACAACTCTGGCTAAACTAGCGGGAAGATACCTTTCAGCACCTTGCACTAGTGTTGACAGTGAAAGGCTGTTCAGCTCAGTGTCACACATTGTGAGTGAAAGCAGAAACAGGCTCACAGCTGAGAATGCAGAGATGATTCTTTTCATCAAAAAGAACCTGCCTCTCACTTTCCCAAAAAAAAGCTTAGTTCAGAGACCACACCATTGCATGCTGACTGAAGTCTGATATTTTGTTTGATTAAAATGTGGACACTCTGCAATAGGTTCATTAATGTTTCGTCAATCTGAAAGCTGGAAACAGTGCCAAATAGTTAATTGATATTTTGTTTGATTAAAATGTGGAAACTCTGCAATAATTTCACAGAAAATGTTTATTTTTCACTTGAAATTTTAGTTTTATAGTCATTTTTATTAATATTTTATTTTTTATCTAGTTCATCATCATTTGTTGTAACAAGCAGAGAAGAAAATAAAACCTGTCTTCCAATTCATTGCATTTTATTTGTGGTAGAAGTATTGGCATCGGTACTCTGTATCGGCAAGTACTCAGATCCAAGTATCGATATTGTATCAGTTTGAAAAAAAGTATCGGTGCATCCCTAATAATATATAAATATATATAATATTTTGGTTTATTAATTTAATAAGAACACTGCAAGTGTTACCGCGTAGTGGTACGCTATGCTGAGGAGAGGTGTGCGTGTGGGAACCAAGTTGCTGTACTGATTTTATGTGTGTTGTACACAGAATTAACTCCCCGTCCAACTGGCAAAGCAGCAGATGTCTGTCGTCCATTTCTACACAATGCCGAACACAACGCAGACTCAAATTAAAGGAGTGCCAGGCCAAACCGGTTACATAAACAACATGTCTCTTTCTTCACTGTTTGTGACATCACACTGCATCAATTCCACAGACAGACAGGTGAACAGACAGACAGGTCTTACTCAGGTACAGGTGGAAGCAGAGCAGGTGAGACAGCAGCACAGAGGACAGCAGACCCAGAGCGATGGTGACTGCAGCCAGACCAGGAATCACTGCTGCTGCCGATCGGACCGGAGCCACCGGCAGGAAGACAAACCACACACCTGTCTCATTCCTCACTGCACACACACAGACAGATGGACAGACAGACAGTATATATCATAGCTGTACAGTAACAGGAAGCTGTAACAGACTCTTCTGTAAACAGCTATGTTACAGGGTCAGAGGTCAGGTCTTACCCAGGAAGTGTTTGTCAGTGCGCAGTCTGGATGGGTCCAGAAAGAACTCAATGAAGACGTACGAGGCCACGACCAGAACCAGGCAGACCCCCAACAGAGCCGAGACCACACTGTGGAGGAACAACCTGCAGGGTGCACAGCAAACACAGTACTACTGAGTACTACACAGTACTACACAGTACTACACTGTACTACACAGTACTACACAGTACTACTGAGTACTACACAGTACTACACTGTACTACTGAGTACTACACAGTACTACTGAGTACTACACAGTACTACACTGTACTACACAGTACTACACTGTACTACTGAGTACTACACAGTACTACACAGTACTACACTGTACTACACAGTACTACACTGTACTACTGAGTACTACACAGTACTACACTGTACTACACAGTACTACACTGTACTACTGAGTACTACACAGTACTACTGAGTACTACACAGTACTACTGAGTACTACACAGTACTACACAGTACTACACTGTACTACTGAGTACTACTGAGTACTACACAGTACTACACTGTAATACACAGTACTACTCAATAGTACCCTATTACCCCACTAGAACACTACGTTCTCTGAACGCTGGGCTACTTGTGGTTCCTATAGTTTCTAAAAGTAGAACAGGAGACAGAGCCTTCAGTTACCAAGCTCCTCTCCTGTGGAACCAGCTTCCAGTTGTGGTTCGGGAGGCAGACACCCTCACCACATTCAAGAGTAGGCTTAAGACATTCCTCTTTGATAAAGCTTATAGTTAGGGCTGGATCAGGTGAGTCCTGAACCATCCCTTAGTTATGCTGCTATAGGCCTAGACTATCGGGGGATTTCCCATGGTGCACTGAGCTCCTCTCTTCCTCTCTCTTTCTGCACTCATTCATGTCCCTTTAATGCATGTTACTAACTTCACTTCTTCCCCGGAGTTCTTGTGCTTTCTCGTCTTGCAGGTTCTCATGGATCCTGGTGGAGCCTCCTGCCATGGTCCTGCTTGACTGCCATTGCCAATACTGTTGTTGCTGTGCACCTGTCTGTCTGTCTGTCGCTCTCTCTCTCTCTCTCTCTCTCTCTCTCTCTCTCTCTCTCACCCCAACTGGTCGAGACAGACGACCACCCACCTAGAGCCGGAGGATCTGTCCTAGGTTTCTGCCTTTTAACAGGCAGTTTTTCCTTGCCCTTGTCTCCAAGGTCTTGCTCATGGTGGTACTGTTGGGTCTCTGTAATTAATGTTTTAAAGAGTTCGGTCTAGACCTGCTCTATTTGAAAAGTGTCCTGAGATAACTTCTGTTATGAATTGGCGCTATACAAATAAAATTGAATTGAATTGAATTGAATTGAATTACTGAGTACTACACTGTACTACACGGTACTACACAGTACTACACTGTAATACACAGTATTACTGAGTACTACACTGTACTACACAGTACTACACTGTACTACACAGTACTACACTGTACTACTGAGTACTACACAGTACTACTGAGTACTACACTGTACTACACGGTACTACACAGTACTACACTGTACTACACGGTACTACACTGTACTACACTGTACTACACTGTACTACACAGTACTACTGAGTACTACACTGTACTACATGGTACTACACAGTACTACACTGTACTACACGGTACTACACTGTACTACACGGTACTACACAGTACTACACTGTACTACACTGTACTACACTGTACTACACAGTACTACTGAGTACTACACTGTACTACACAGTACTACACTGTACTACACGGTACTACACTGTACTACTGAGTACTGTGAGGTCTGCTACAATGAAAAACACTCCTGTATACTGCTCTTTACAAAGAACAGAAGAAGAAGAGAACATATAAAGAATAGTAGAAGTAGAGTCTCACTTGTAGTTCCTGCTGCCCACACAGTTGTTGAGCCAGCGACAGTGATGGTCGAAGTTGGCGACACATTTGTTACAGGCACTGCAGTGTTTGGACTTTGGACCCCTGGAATAATAATAATAATAATAATAATAAGTGTTAATAACAGACAGAGTGCCCCCTGCTGGTACACTGTGTGATGAATGAATGTGTCAGAGAAGATCTTACTGAGGATCTACTTATTGTTTAATATATTACTAACATTAAAATATTAAAAACTTTAATTATGTAGAGAGGAGAATCAATAATAAAACAATCAGGACCCTCCTGGACCCGGTTTCTGTCTGACCCAGTTCTCTGAGGTCTCCTGGGAGACCACAGCCCACTGACCTGGTTTTAGACTGATGTCATTATATATTTATGTTTATATATATTTATATCTTATATCTGCCGGAGCTGAGCAGCAGAGCATCACCTATTAATGCATCATATTATTGGATATTATTATTAATTCATTAATGAATCAGTCATTAAACTCTAAAGACATCTAGCAGACGCCATATTTCTCCCAAAATAATGAGCAAGATGGAGAGGCGGAGCTTGTCGGGGTGAATACACTCACTGAGTACGTTCTCATTTATTAATTACTTTCTAACAGACAAGCTCCAGTAACTGTTCCTACCATCAGTGAGCTGAGAGACTCTGTCCTCTACTGAGAGTCCACTGAGAGACTCTGTCCCCCACTGAGAGTCCACTGAGAGACTCTGTCCTCTACTGAGAGACTCTGTCCCCCACTGAGAGACTCTGTCCTCTACTGAGAGTCCACTGAGAGACTCTGTCCTCTACTGAGAGTCCACTGAGAGACTCTGTCCCCCACTGAGAGACTCTGTCCTCTACTGAGAGACTCTGTCCCCCACTGAGAGACTCTGTCCTCTACTGAGAGTCCACTGAGAGACTCTGTCCCCCACTGAGAGACTCTGTCCTCTACTGAGAGTCCACTGAGAGACTCTGTCCCCCACTGAGAGACTCTGTCCCCCACTGAGAGACTCTGTCCTCTACTGAGAGTCCACTGAGAGACTCTGTCCCCCACTGAGAGACTCTGTCCCCCACTGAGAGACTCTGTCCTCTACTGAGAGTCCTTTATCCATCTGTGAGACAGTGTGTGTGTGTGTGTGTGTGTGTGTGTGTGTGTGTCACTCACACGTCCACCTGGCACAAGTAGCAGTGGCAGTTCTCGATGACGTGGGCGTGTTTGGAGCGATCGAACACGGGGACGGGGCCTCTGTCGCTCTTGGTTCTCACGCTGTAGTCGGCGGGGTCGATGGTCACCGCCATCACGTGGACGCACAGGTGACACACGAACATAACGCCGGTACACTGATCTCAGGTCAGGAATCACACACACATACAATGAAAGACCTCCTTTAACCTAATAACAGAGTTACACAACCTCTGATCATCTTTATTGATCATATTGATCAGAATACACTGGATCTTTATGGATATTGATCAGTATACACTGTATCTGTATGGATGATATTGATCAGTATACACTGTATCTTTATGGATGATATTGATCAGTATACACTGTATCTTTATTGATTATTGATCAGTATACACTGTATCTTTATGGATGATATTGATCAGTATACACTGTATCTTTATGGATGATATTGATCAGAATACACTGTATCTTTATGGATGATATTGATCAGTATACACTGTATCTTTTAATTCAGAACGCTGCAGCACGAGTACTGACAGGAACTAGAAAAAGAGATCACATCTCTCCTGTACTAGCTTCTCTGCATTGGCTCCCTATAAAATGTAGAATTGAATTTAAAATACTCCTCCTCACCTATAAAGCTCTTCATGGTCAGGCCCCTTCATATCTTAAAGGGCTCATAGTACCCTATTACCCCACTAGAACACTACGTTCTCTGAATGCTGGGCTACTTGTGGTTCCTATAGTCTCTAAAAGTAGAACAGGAGCCAGAGCCTTCAGTTACCAAGCTCCTCTCCTGTGGAACCAGCTTCCAGTTGTGGTTCGGGAGGCAGACACCCTCACCACATTCAAGAGTAGGCTTAAGACATTCCTCTTTGATAAAGCTTATAGTTAGGGCTGGATCAGGTGAGTCCTGAACCATCCCTTAGTTATGCTGCTATAGGCCTAGACTATCGGGGGATTTCCCATGGTGCACTGAGCTACTCTCTTCCTCTCTCTTTCTGCACTCATTCATGTCCCTTTAATGCATGTTACTAACTTCACTTCTTCCCCGGAGTTCTTGTGCTTTCTCGTCTCGCAGGTTCTCATGGATCCTGGTGGAGCCTCCTGCCATGGTCCTGCTTGACTGCCATTGCCAATACTGTTGTTGCTGTGCACCTGTCTGTCTGTCTGTCGCTCTCTCTCTCTCTCTCGCTCTCTCTCTCTCTCTCTCTCTCTCTCACCCCAACTGGTCGAGACAGACGACCACCCACCTAGAGCCGGAGGATCTGTCCTAGGTTTCTGCCTTTTAACAGGCAGTTTTTCCTTGCCCTTGTCTCCAAGTGCTTGCTCATGGTGGTACTGTTGGGTCTCTGTAATTAATGTTTTAAAGAGTTCGGTCTAGACCTGCTCTATTTGAAAAGTGTCCTGAGATAACTTCTGTTATGAATTGGCGCTATACAAATAAAATTGAATTGAATTGAATTGAATTGAATCTTTATTGATTATTGATCAGTATACACTGTATCTTTATGGATGATATTGATCAGTATACACTGTATCTTTATGGATGATATTGATCAGTATACACTGTATCTTTATGGATGATATTGATCAGCATACACTGTATCTGTATGGATGATATTGATCCTGTATTGACAGTCAGACTGTGGACATATGACGGCCTTTAGCTTGTGTTTCTAGAGTTACGTGTTGTTACGAACACGTTAGGAATTGTTAAAATGTGATATTTCTTAAAGGGAGTTTGGTGCAGGGAGCTTTTAGTTGGATTCAAACTGCTGAAGGATACGATGTACCCGGCGGGGATCCAGTGGGCGGGCAGCAGCGGGACGAACACGCCAAAGCCGGTGACGGCGAAGTAGACGTAGAGCAGCCAGGCCAGCAGCTGGAAGGGGTGCGGCGGCCAGCTCCAGCCGTTGGTCCGGGAGCACAGCGGCACGGCAGCTCGGTGCGGGCCGTCCTCAGTGACCGGCACCGTGCGGTTCGGGTTCCTACTGCACACGTCCATCCTGCATGTCAGAGAGAGAGAGCTTTCTGTCAGAGGGCTTCAAGAAGATAACTGATCAATTCACATTTCTGTATTTGAAACAGAAGCTGATCAATAAATATGATTTAATAATCAATAATCTTAACATCACTGTTGTTTACACAACAAACAAACAAAAACAAACAGTTCTGACTCATAAATTCAACTTTCATTGAACATAAAGTCTATCGATCGTTTTACATAATCATTCAAAATGTATTATTATTGATCGATCATTGATCAGTTGTGATGTAATCGATAATATAAATTTCCCATTATGATTAAATAATGATCAGCCTCCACAGTTTTATAATATATCAAACAATTGATCAACTAATCAACAGAATAATCAGTTAATCTATAAGGAAATATCTGTCAATATAATGTGAGCATTTCAGTCAAACTGTGACAGTTATCAATATTTATCAATATATAATAATATGCAGACATTTTATTGATTAATGAAGAGACTGATCAGCAGATTCATGCTGTAACAGAACCACAGCGTATTTATCGATAATCAATCAGATCTGATCCATGCAGACATTAATCAATAGTTTCAGTCCTAATCTGTCAGTAATATACTCTGAATCTGATCACATTAATATTGAATATTGATTAACCAGTTCACCTGTTTATCGGTTAACGGGACTCCTCTCATCCCGGACTCTGGGCCCGACCGGCGGGGCGGAGCTGTACCGGTGCCCGGTCCCCGGTCAACCCCGACCCCCCCCCCCCCCACCCCACCCCCGCCCCGGAGGACCAGACTGCTGCTGGACTCTCTGGACTCACTCAGACCCTCAGACCGGGTCAGACCCTATCCATCCCGGAGCAGCTCGCTCGGTGCTAACGGTGCTAACGGTGCTAACGGTGCTAACGGTGCTAACGGTGCTAACGGTGCTAACGGTGCTAACGGCTATTTCCAGCTTTTATCCGGATAATATTCAGATTAGCTGCTGTTAGCTTGTTATGCAGCACTAGCCTCGTTAGCTGCTACCATGCTAGCTGCCGTTAGCTACGACAGACACACTGACCGGAACTGGAATCTTAACCGTAGAAGAAGATTTTAAATATTTAAGGTCCATTAACCAACCGTTAGCCTGTTAGCCTGTTAGCCTGATGCTAACTGCTGTCACCCTCTCCAGCCTGTACGCCGTTTCCCTGGTAACGCTCCAGGTCCGCTGTGATTGGTCAGTGGAGCTGTTCCCGCCCACTGCCAGCCGGAAGTAAGCACTGAGAGCCAGACTGTGTGTCCGCGTGGCGTCCAGCAGGGGGCAGCATTTACACTGTTACTATCAGTGAGGGAATTTACACTGTTACTATCAGTGAGGGGGGCAGTCAGCATTTACACTGTTACTATCAGTGAGGGGGGCAGCATTTACACTGTTATTATCAGTGAGGGGGGCAGCATTTACACTGTTATTATCAGTGAGGGGGGGACAGCATCTGCATTTACACTGTTATTATCAGTGAGGGGGGGCAGCATTTACACTGTTATTATCAGTGAGGGGGGGGCAGCATCTGCATTTACACTGTTACTATCAGTGAGGGGGGGCAGCATTTAAACTGTTACTATCAGTGAGGGGGGGGCAGCTGCATTTACACTGTTATTATCAGTGAGGGGGGGCAGCATTTACACTGTTACTATCAGTGAGGGGGGGCATTTACACTGTTATTATCAGTGAGGGGGGCAGCATTTACACTGTTACTATCAGTGAGGGGGGCAGCATTTACACTGTTATTATCAGTGAGGGGGGCAGAGGGGGGCATTTACACTGTTACTATCAGTGAGGGGGGCAGCATTTACACTGTTATTATCAGTGAGGGGGGGCAGCATTTACACTGTTATTATCAGTGAGGGGGGGGCATTGCTATCGTGGAGCATTTACACTGTTATTATCAGTGAGGGGGGCAGCATCTGCATTTACACTGTTATTATCAGTGAGGGGGGGCAGCATTTACACTGTTATTATCAGTGAGGGGGGGCAGCATCTGCATTTACACTGTTACTATCAGTGAGGGGGGGCAGCATTTAAACTGTTACTATCAGTGAGGGGGGGCAGCTGCATTTACACTGTTATTATCAGTGAGGGGGGGCAGCATTTACACTGTTACTATCAGTGAGGGGGGGCATTTACACTGTTATTATCAGTGAGGGGGGGCAGCATTTACACTGTTACTATCAGTGAGGGGGGAGCATTTACACTGTTATTATCAGTGAGGGGGGGCAGCATTTACACTGTTACTATCAGTGAGGGGGGCAGCATTTACACTGTTATTATCAGTGAGGGGGGGCAGCATCTGCATTTACACTGTTACTATCAGTGAGGGGGGGCAGCATTTACACTGTTATTATCAGTGAGGGGGGCAGCATTTACACTGTTATTATCAGTGAGGGGGGGCAGCTGCATTTACACTGTTGTTATCAGTGAGGGGGGGCAGCATCTGCATTTACACTGTTACTATCAGTGAGGGGGGGCAGCATTTACACTGTTATTATCAGTGAGGGGGGGCAGCATTTACACTGTTATTATCAGTGAGGGGGGGCAGCATCTGCATTTACACTGTTGTTATCAGTGAGGGGGGGCAGCATCTGCATTTACACTGTTATTATCAGTGAGGGGGGGGCATTTACACTGTTATTATCAGTGGGGGGGGCAGCTGCGTTTACACTGTTATTATCAGTGAGGGGGGGGCAGCATTTACACTGTTATTATCAGTGAGGGGGGGCAGCATTTACACTGTTATTATCAGTGAGGGGGGCAGCATCTGCATTTACACTGTTATTATCACTGAGGGGGGGCAGCATTTACACTGTTATTATCAGTGAGGGGGGGGACAACTGCTGCATTTACACTGTTATTATCAGTGAGGGGGGCAGCATTTACACTGTTATTATCAGTGAGGGGGGGCAGCATCTGCATTTACACTGTTATCAGTAGGGGGAGCATTTACACTGTTATTATCAGTGAGGGGGGGCAGCAGCTGCATTTACACTGCTATTATCAGTGAGGGGGGGCAGCATTTACACTGTTATTATCAGTGAGGGGGGCAGCATCTGCATTTACACTGTTATTATCAGTGAGGGGGGCAGCAGCTGCATTTACACTGTTATTATCAGTGAGGGGGGGGCAGCTGCATTTACACTGTTATTATCAGTGGGGGGGCAGCATTTACACTGTTATTATCAGTGAGGGGGGGCAGCATCTGCATTTACACTGTTATTATCAGTGAGGGGGGCAGCTGCATTTACACTGTTATTATCAGTGAGGGGGGGGCAGCAGCTGCATTTATACTGTTATTATCAGTGAGGGGGGGCAGCATCTGCATTTACACTGTTATTATCAGTGAGGGGGGGCAGCATTTACACTGTTATTATCAGTGAGGGGGGGCAGCTGCATTTACACTGTTATTATCAGTGAGGGGGGGCATTTACACTGTTATTATCAGTGGGGGGGCAGCTGCGTTTACACTGTTATTATCAGTGAGGGGGGGCAGCATCTGCATTTACACTGTTATTATCAGTGAGGGGGGCAGCATTTACACTGTTATTATCAGTGAGGGGGGGCAGCATCTGCATTTACACTGTTATTATCAGTGAGGGGGGGCAGCATCTGCATTTACACTGTTATTATCACTGAGGGGGGGCAGCATTTACACTGTTATTATCAGTGAGGGGGCAGCAGCTGCATTTACACTGTTATTATCAGTGAGGGGGGCAGCAGCTGCATTTACACTGCTATTATCAGTGGGGGGGGACAACTGCTGCATTTACACTGTTATTATCAGTGAGGGGGGGCAGCATTTACACTGTTATTATCAGTGAGGGGGGGCAGCATTTACACTGTTATTATCAGTGAGGGGGGGCAGCATCTGCATTTACACTGTTATTATCAGTGAGGGGGGCAGCATCTGCATTTACACTGTTATTATCACTGGGGGGCAGCATTTACACTGTTATTATCAGTGAGGGGGGGCAGCAGCTGCATTTACACTGCTATTATCAGTGAGGGGGGGGACAACTGCTGCATTTACACTGTTATTATCAGTGAGGGGGGCAGCATTTACACTGTTATTATCAGTGAGGGGGGGCAGCATCTGCATTTACACTGTTATTATCAGTGAGGGGGGGCAGCAGCTGCATTTACACTGTTATTATCAGTGAGGGGGGGGCAGCTGCATTTACACTGTTATTATCAGTGGGGGGGGCAGCATTTACACTGTTATTATCAGTGAGGGGGGCAGCATCTGCATTTACACTGTTATTATCAGTGAGGGGGGCAGCTGCATTTACACTGTTATTATCAGTGAGGGGGGGCAGCATTTACACTGTTATTATCAGTGAGGAGGGGGCAGCATCTGCATTTACACTGTTATTATCAGTGAGGGGGGGGCAGCAGCTGCATTTACACTGTTATTATCAGTGAGGGGGGGGCAGCATCTGCATTTACACTGTTATTATCAGTGAGGGGGGCAGCATTTACACTGTTATTATCAGTGAGGGGGGGGCAGCATCTGCATTTACACTGTTATTATCAGTGAGGGGGGCAGCATCTGCATTTACACTGTTATTATCAGTGAGGGGGGGCAGCATCTGCATTTACACTGTTATTATCAGTGAGGGGTGGCAGCTGCATTTACACTGTTATTATCAGTGAGGGGGGGCAGCATTTACACTGTTATTATCAGTGAGGGGGGGCAGCATTTACACTGTTATTATCAGTGAGGGGGGGCAGCATCTGCATTTACACTGTTGTTATCAGTGAGGGGGGGCAGCATCTGCATTTACACTGTTATTATCAGTGAGGGGGGGGCAGCAGCTGCATTTACACTGTTATTATCAGTGAGGGGGGGCAGCTGCATTTACACTGTTATTATCAGTGAGGGGGGGCATTTACACTGTTATTATCAGTGGGGGGGCAGCTGCGTTTACACTGTTATTATCAGTGAGGGGGGGCAGCATCTGCATTTACACTGTTATTATCAGTGAGGGGGGGCAGCATTTACACTGTTATTATCAGTGAGGGGGGGCAGCATCTGCATTTACACTGTTATTATCAGTGAGGGGGGGCAGCATCTGCATTTACACTGTTATTATCACTGAGGGGGGGCAGCATTTACACTGTTATTATCAGTGAGGGGGGGCAGCAGCTGCATTTACACTGTTATTATCAGTGAGGGGGGGCAGCATTTACACTGTTATTATCAGTGAGGGGGGGCAGCAGCTGCATTTACACTGCTATTATCAGTGAGGGGGGGGACAACTGCTGCATTTACACTGTTATTATCAGTGAGGGGGGGCAGCATTTACACTGTTATTATCAGTGAGGGGGGGCAGCATCTGCATTTACACTGTTATTATCAGTGAGGGGGGCAGCATTTACACTGTTATTATCAGTGAGGGGGGGCAGCATCTGCATTTACACTGTTATTATCAGTGAGGGGGGCAGCATCTGCATTTACACTGTTATTATCACTGAGGGGGGGCAGCATTTACACTGTTATTATCAGTGAGGGGGGGCAGCAGCTGCATTTACACTGCTATTATCAGTGAGGGGGGGGACAACTGCTGCATTTACACTGTTATTATCAGTGAGGGGGGGCAGCATTTACACTGTTATTATCAGTGAGAGGGGGCAGCATCTGCATTTACACTGTTATTATCAGTGAGGGGGGGCAGCAGCTGCATTTACACTGTTATTATCAGTGAGGGGGGGC